AGTTTTTCATGCTTTTCTAATACAATTATGTTCTTTGTCAGATTCTGTAATTCCATCCTATGACATGCCATATCCTAGACAACATAATTTGAATAGATTATAATTTATTTGTTGGTTATAAAAGTTTGTGGGTTTTGACAAACACAGTGAAAGGGATCCATCATTAAACTATCATATGAAATACTTCAACCCCTCCCCCCATCATCTGTTTACCAAATCTATAGTTTTGCCTTTGCCAATATGTCATGTCAATGGGATCAAACAATGTGTAGCTTCTTCAGACTGGATTCTTTCAGGAAGTAATGTACCTATCTTTAAGAGTCATCCATGTAAAAAGTTGACATCTGTGAGGCCATTTTCAAAATGGAGCTTGGGAGCCATTATAAAAAAATTATATTACCTGCTTCATTTGAATAAGCCAAAGAGCTTTAGAGTGGCCCAAAAGGAATTTCTTGAGAAACCATGAAGCAAGTAGTTTTTGAGAACTGATGAATATGGAAATGCAGTGGAAGATAGACTTAGTAAATTCCAGAATGAGTAGCCAATTCTGTATAGACAAAAATAATTCATACAAATAAACTGTTTTCTTTAACTATTTGCCTCCTTTTATTCCCATAAAAACCCCTGACTTTGTCCCTCTTGTTCCTCACATTTTAGGTTTTCTGCTTGAATTTTTGAACCCCAGATTGCAAATCATTGATCTCAAATAAAAGTGCTTTGTCATTTTAATTGGCATGTGAAATTTTAGGTTGACATGTGTTTTTGCAAGGGCTAGTGGTACATTCCTTATTATTGCTGAATAGTCCATATATAGTGAGGGAAAATAATATTACCTCTACTCTTTTATGTTCTTGGCTAGATATTTCATAATTTAAAAAAAAACAGATTGGGCCTCCCTGGTGGCGCAAGGGGTTAAGCATCATACTATGAAGCAATCCGCAGGCTCTGCAGCATGAGTTTGATCCCCGGTCAGCCAGGGAGCAACCCACATGGCACAGCAGACCTCTCCTGACTTGCCCGCTGCTCCCCTCAGCAGTGTATTTCAGTCAGTCTGCCTGTTCTGTTCCCCGCTCTGTCTCTGGTGAATCCTCTCAATCCCCTGTATCTCTGGCCTGTACCCCAGTTCTAGTATGCATAAATAAATAAATCTTTAAAAATATATAAATTTAACAAATAAAAAATAAATAAATAAAACAGATTAACAAGAGAAACACAAACAGAAGTTTAGTAATATGTATACATGGGAGATATCCAAGAAAACTGAGTAACACCCAGGAAGGGCCCAAGCCATCACTCCAAATATCATCTTCAGCTAAAAACAAAATAAAAGTGTTAAGAGATAGGGAAAACCAATTATGGGAGCTCATCAGGCAAAGCACAATAAATAAGGAAGTGGTTGTTTTGTTGGTTTATGTCCAGAACTTCTCCATTGATAAGTTTCTCAGGATTTAGCCATCCTTCTATTCCTGATATAGAGAGGGAACACGCATACGAATTCAGATTTCCCTGATCAATGTAAATTTCCACCACCATAAGCAACTTCTACTCCATTTTCAGAGATGCTCTTCTGCCCGTAGTTTTTAAAACTTATTCAGACCAAAATAACTGTTAAAACAAAACTCACGAATTTTAGAGACCTCACAGGCTGTGTTACATGATTCACATCTAGACCCTGCAAGGGTTTACACAAAATACAGGACATTTATAGACAGAAAGAGGGTGGGGAAGGAAATATTATTTTTCAGGTAATGTAACCTTCCCTCAGGGGGTGGCATCATGCAGACTACATCAGTGCTGTTGATTAGGATTGATTGTTTTAGAGTTACACTTTTTTTTTTTAAATAGATTTCTTTCTTTTTCTTTTTTTTTTTAAGATTTATTTATTTATACAAGCACTGGGTACAGTCAGAAGCGCGGGAGGGTGAGAGAATTCACCAGAGTCAGAGGGGAGAGCAGAGCAGGCAGACTGACGAAGTACACTGCTGAGGGGAGCAGCGGGCAGCAGGAGAGGTCTGCGCACCATGTGGGACCCTCACCAGGCGGTCGGGGATCAAATCGGCGCTGCAGAGGCTGCGGGCAGCCTCGTACCCAGCACTTAACCACTGCGCCACCGGGGAGGCCCCTAAAGTTACACTTTTGACAGAGATTGAAACTGCAGTAGATTAGGTTTTTAAGTCTGGATGGTGGACCAGCATCAAGGACTCCATTTTGTCTGTTCTTTGTATTCTTTAACATAATCTTTATGCTAAGGAGGTATATTTTGGGTGGCATGTTATGTTCCCTCCACACTGATGTACTTCAATTTGCTTATGCGTTCATCTACTAAAGAACTTTCAGATTTCTTGAAAATTTTAACCATTATGAATAGAGCTGTTTTGCATAATTGCATGTTAGTTTTTGTTTAGACATGGTGTTTCAAAGCACTTGTCTAAACACTAACCTGGTTAGCTTTGGAAAAACTGCCAAAATGTCTTCCAAAGTGGTTAAACATGCATTATACCAGCAATGAAGCAGAATTCCTGTTGTTTTTCACCTTCCAACGATTGATATTGGCATTTTTTCATAGGGTAGCAATTCTAACAGGTATGCAGTTCTTTTTTTGTTTTATAGAAGAACCAGGGTGTAGGCCAGAGGTGCAGAGGGTGAGAGGTTTCACTAGAGACAGAGTGGGGAACAGAACAGGCAGATTTCACTGAATTGTACTACTAAGGGGAGCAGACGGAAGAGGTCTGCTGTGCTATAAGTGGGTGAGCTCTCTGTCAGGGAATCAAACTGAGGCTGTAACGGTGATAGTGCTGAGACTTAATGCCTAGACCACCAGGGAGGCCCATAACAGGTATGCAGTTCTATCTAGCTCAATGTCACTTTCATTTGTAATTCTTATAAAAGAGTAAAGGTCTCTATCCCAAAAATATGTCTTTGGAAAAAGGTTGATTTCATAAGAGTTCTGAAAACTGAGTAGAGGTTGCTCTTTTGTGAAAGATAAGTTCTCTCCCTGTGGGTATCAGCCCTCAGTGTACCTGGAAGAACTTAACTCTTCTCAATGGAGAGAGCAAGACTTCAATCTACATAACAGTCCTACCTTTGCCTACTGTGCCTTCCCTGGTAACCTCCCAGGGAGGTAACTGACCCCCTTCTGTCTTAGCTATTTAAGATGGAAATAAGTTTCTCCCCCTTTCCTGTCCATAAGCTGTCTCTGTGTGGAGTATCAGACTCAGGGGTAAACTTAAGGTATTCTCATTATTAAACTTCTTGACTTTCTCTTATCATTGTTTCTGGTATCTGTTTGATCTTTAACCAGCCTAGAAGAACCAACAGGAGTGCAGGGTGAATTCCTTTGCGCCCCTACATTCTCTATGATATGTGATGTTGATCATGTTTATTTACCTTTATATCTTCTTTGGTGAGGTGTCTGTTTAGATCTTTATCCATATTTAACGAGGTTGCTTGTTTTCTTATTGTTGAGTTCCTAGAGTTCTTTGTATATTTTGAATGCAAATCTTTTATCAGATAAGTGTTTGCAAATACATTTTCCGAGTTTGTGGCTTCTCTTTTTGTTCTCTGAATAAGATCTTTCACTGAACAGAAAATTTCCAATTTAATAAATTCAACATTATTTTTCTTTTATGGTTTGGCTTTTGGTATTTTGCGTTAAAACTCACCACCAAAGCCAAGATCATGTAGATTTTTTTAATAAGTGTTTCAGAAATTTTACAACTTTGTATTTTAAGTTGGTCCATGGATAATTTTGAATGAATTTTAATGTGATCTGTAGTTTGTTTCTGCATTCATTTTATTCAGTATGCTTTGCAATTAAATGTTTCTTTACTGTTTTTGGAAAAGACAGATGATATTCAGCTCCATTTCAGTTTCAATTTCCAAAATTTGATTCAGCAGGACTACAGGTAAGGGACCTACAGGTACTGATCTATCAACTTCCCACATCCTGCACTGCCCCTTCCTCCCTGGCAGGGGGCGCCTGAGCCTCCTAAAATATCTGACCTTTAATGCACATGTACATTCCTCCCCTAGACTTGGCTCTGCTTCCCATCTAAATAGAATTGGGTCTCCTCAGGACCCACTGGGGAGGTGCTGGCAGGACTTCAGGGTAAAGTGAGGCACAGTGACTTCCAGTTCAGGTCAAAAGTCTTTAAGGTGTTGTTGATTCCTTTCTCTCACCTGATAGTTCTTCCCTCCACTTTCCTCATTGTCCTCACTTCTCTCTCCCCACCCCTGCTTCCAGTGCCCAGTCCTCCCTAGGCCTCCTCTCACAGGGTCATTGCGTCACTCCATTGGCTCCCTGCAGCAAATTTCCCACTTTCCAGCAAACCCAAAGCACTTTCTGTAGAACTATGGTTGAACTAAGGAGATCAGAGACAGACACTGGCCCAGATAGCCAAGCCCAAAGCTCAGAGCTGGAGAAATTCATTAGCAGAGCATCCAGTTATTGGAGAGAACTCCCTTCCAAGTCCTGAGCTGGGTGAGGTTTAAGTTTAGACATCCAGAGCACAATGCACTAGTGAGGGTAGGCCTGGAAATGGGTGGGTGGGGTGAGAGTTTTGCTGCCCCATCCCCTCTCCTGAGCTTGATCCCCCCCCCCCCACTTCTTGCATGTGCCTATCTATCCAGCTTCCTTAGGCCCAGAGGACCTGTGGTCAAACCCCTGTGCGGGGTGCACTAGCCCCACCTCCTTCAGGAAGCTGACCTGATATTCCAACAGCAAGTGAGGGGCATTGTGCTGTGTGTGCCCTTCTTTGTACCATTATAAAAAGAAGTCATCACAGTAGAAGTGGCCACCTCCTCAATTTCACTCAGGAAACTAGCAATGTGAAATGACCCCTGAAGATGAATTGGGAGACCACCCCCACGCCACTTCTCCACGCTATAGTTTACCATACTTTCTCATCCTGCGAAGATGCTATTCACCCAGCCATGGACCAAAATGTTAGTGTAGAAAGGTATCACATGGTTTCTGCATTTCTGCCCTGCAATATGACCATGTCCCTTTGGTACTACAGTTGTTGTTGCTGGGGGTTTCTGTGATAACTCTTGTTATTTTCTCCATAGCCTGACTCCAAGTACAACATGATTACAAGCTTATCAGGCTGCAGCACACATGGTCCCGATTTTATTCAGGGATGACGGAAAACAGAGCGTCTGGAATATATCTTTGTGGAGCAGCCATTTTACTTTAAGATTTGGAAGAACCAAATACTTTGCAAGAACCATATACTCTCCCTCACAAACAGAAAAGATTAGGGGAAGGGAGCAGTGCCCAGGGATAGTGTAGTCTCTGAAGCTTCCCCAGGTGTGGAGAGCAGCCCAGGCACTGCTCGGTGAAGCCGGCCATTGCGTCACTGTGCTTCTGGCCCATTGAAAGTTCCTGGATTATGTCCCGCTCATAGTCCATGGACAGCAACACCTCCCTTAACAGGGGTCCTTGTAGTCATGGGGTGGCTCAATGTAAAGCCTGAGCTCTTCGTCCTGGCCCATGTTTATTCACAGGCCCCTCTAGATATTCTCTAAATACCACACTGGAGTGGAGGGTGAGGAAACATCAGCAGATTTTCACATTCTAATGACAGAAGGAAAAGAGTGTCATATTTTCTGCTCAGTATCCATTGCCATGCTCCCTAAAGTCTTCCCCACAAAGGCAGAGTCCCAGTGGCCATAACTAGAGAACAACTCCTAATTCTACACACCCACTGTGGGCGTCATAGTTTGGGCCTCAGGGCTGAGGGGGGCAGGGAGGAGGGGGCAGCTTCCACTCAAAATATTCAGTTTATGGCCCACAGTGAACTCCCTAAAGCCAAAGTCTCCAATGTGTATGTTCAGGTCAGTGCCCCCAGCAGCTTCTCTGGATCAGATCCCTGAGGATGACACTGGTGATGGTGAGACTACACAGCAGATACCTATCTGCTGGATTCTGCCTCGGGCCTCTGAGACTGTAATCCAGGACATCATCAAGCACCTCATGTCATGAAGTGCTCTAACCAGGTAGAGCGCATCTAAGGGGAAAAGTAGAAAGTGATCATCTGTGCCCAGAGAAAGTCTTAGAGAAGATCTGAGAATACCTTAAGTTTACCCCTGAGTCTGATCCTCCACACAGAGACAGCTTATGGACAGGAAAGGGGGAGAAACTTATTTCCAGAGTTACCACATTATTGGATTCAAATGGCCAGTGTTCAACAACAACAACAAAAATGAAAAAGCCTACAGAGACAGGAAAGCAGGATCCATTCGACAGGGAAAAAATTAATTTTCTCAACTATATTTGTAAATATTTTCTTTTCTTATGTGTAGACTCCAAAAGGAGGAGGAGGAAGAGGAGACAGAGTAGCCTTGCACTCCTTGCACACCGCTCTGCATGGAGCCGCTCCACCGGGGCTTCACCAGCGCTCACAACTCTGCCTCAGCCTTCACGGCCAGCCCGAGGAGATCCTGAACTCAAGTCAAGGCTAAAAGCTGAGGCTCATAGGTCATTTCTGAGATTGCGTCCTCTCCTGCATACATGCATAGCTTTCTAGATGCCTGGTTTCTGCAAATCTTTCCAAAACTCTTCACTTGCCAAAGTACATAAGGTGCTCAAAACAGACTCCCCTTCTCAGAGCTGGCCTCCTCAGGACATGCCACTTATTTGGAGCAAAAATAAATGGCAGCTCACAAGAAGTTCTTGCCTTTCCCCTAACGGGAGTATCATCCAGGTGTGGCATTTGTGCTCTCCATCTGAGAAACCCATCTTTCCCTTCAGAGTAAACATGAAGTGATCCCCTCTTCATCATGTGAAGACCTCTCCTCTGTCCTTGGCGCCCCAGGCCCTGACCTACTCATTGGGATTTAAGTTCTTGTCTCTCCAATTAGAAAGGAATCTTCAAAATCAATGTAAATAGCCTTTGCACACCTGATTAAATCTTTTTCCTTCTACCAAACTCTCTGGTGCTGTTTTGATTATGTGAACAATCTGAGAGGAACCCAGAAAGGTGGGGGAATTTTTCCCCGTGCCACAACACTATCTCACCCCCAACTTTTCCTCCTAGCCACTGTTACTTCTCTTTGAGACACTGAACTCTATCAGCTCAATAGCAAAGTCTCCTCCAGATGCTCCTTAGCTGCTTCTCTGTCCCAAGAGTCTGAGTTAGGACAAATAAAGGCAGGCCCTTTGCATCCCCCTTGAGGGAGCCCTCCAATAGACTAATGCAATTTTTAGGAACAAGATCCACTCTGCTCCCTCCAGAACCAGCAACCCTCCCAGAGAAAGCAGGCTGCCATCTCCAAGATCACTAGTGAGGCAAGGAAGCAGGTAGGGCAACATAAGTGTATGGGCCACAAAGCTCTTCTACTGTGTCACCCCCATTTTTCTTGATCAAGCAGTCATTTCATTCCTGTAAACCTTTGACTACTTTCCTGAGTTCCAGTAAGATAATTCTGACAGTTTTTGCAAGGTTTTCATTATCTGTGGAGTGATGAAACCTTAAGAGTCCCCTACTCTATTTCTATTTTCCTCTCTTCAATAACCACTCTGCTATTTAAGATTGCCTAAGTGTGTGGCAGAAGAGGGCACCCAGAACATGGGCTACATGTAGAGAAGGTGCTGGTGACTCAAGAAGCTACTGGATCTAGGCTACTCCTACCTGAACATGCCCGAAGTCCAGTTTCTCACTCAGAATCCATCAGTCCCCTCGGTTTCTCCATAACTGAGCTTACAGATCACCCATCTGTGATCCCAAAGAATCCTGATCATTGACTGCCAGGAATGTGGCACTTCTTTCCAAAGGAACTAGCAAAAGTAAAGCAAAAATGGGTAAGTAGTCAGTATTAATATGTGTTTCCCTGAGTCCCTGCTGAGCTCCGGGGAATGGCTGCCGCTTGCCCCCAGTTGGCTATGGTGTCCAGGGCTCCTAGAGGACATACATCTGCCAGGTCCACAGCAGGCTGCTGGACCTGAAAGCCTAGTGGGCTTAGAAAGGTAAGCAACGTTAAGATTTGTTTTTAAATTCAAATTATATTTGCAGATAATATTTTGTTACCGTCACAAGGGCTCAGCAGGAGCCTCTGTTTTCCATCTTGCCCTGATGCGTTACTGTCAGGTTTCTGCTTAACCGCCTCACCTTTCCCAGTGGTCAGATCGTCAGCAGCAGGTCCGAGCCCCCATTGGCTAACACTACTGTCTCTCTCTGACGCCCAAATTTGCCAATTTCCCGCCTCTGCGTTGCTAGGAGACAGGATCCTGCCCCAGGAACCGGCGACTGTAACTTGGCTTTGGTCAGCGTGCCTGGAAGGAGTGTGCTCCTTGGGGTTGGCCAAGGCTTTGTGAGTTCAGCAAGGGATTCTCATGGTCATCTGGCTTTGGCTCCACGCTGACCAGGTATCTGCAGGGGTGGGACTGTGCGGGGCAGAGGGAGAAGGTCCCTGAGAATGGCCAGCACTGCAGGGTCAGCTGTCCTGCAGAGCTCAGGGAAGACCGGCCGCTGTGAGGGCTTTGGATAAGTAAGTGCCAGCGGCGGAGGGCCCATCGGTAGGGGACCCCAGTAAATGTGTAACAGGGCGGTCCCCAGGAAAGGGGGAGGTTCCAGGTTTCCTGCCCCACCCAAAAGGAGGGTGGAGCTGAGCAGAGAGAAGAAGCTGCAGAGGAGACTGAGGAAGGAAGCAGGATGGAGCCAGGAGGCCTGGAGCAGGCGCATGGAGCCTAGAGACACGTGAAGAAACTGTGCTTGTCTTTTGGTCGTGGACCGAGTGACACAGATGTGGATGAGACCCGTGGGGAGGTGACAATGGCAGCTTTTATCTTGATTTTGATTTTGCTCTTTTCCTTCCGGGCTTGTCTGGTTGTTTCTGACCCTTTTCTGTGGGTCCCCACTGGAAGATGCTTTAGACTTGTGGCAGGCTTTGGGGCCTTGCTCTGGACCAATCCCATTTGGATGGACTTTTAACCACGAGGGGACGGGTAACTTTGGGTGCTTGATTTAGAAAAGATATTCTTTGCCTTTTCTGTACTGTTTCCTATTGTATTAAAGTTCCTTCCCATAAAAGTCTCATATGTTTTGTGTTGATGCCGCGGATGGCAGAACGCATTTAGAATAGGCAGGTTTGCAGGGTCTGGGCTGCCCATCTCCCTGCCCTGTAACAGATTGAGTGGGTGGCGAGGCCAGAATTCGTCTGTGATACCAGTGGCGGCAGCAGAGAATTGGGCTGGAGCTTGGAGCCCACATTTTAAATTTCAGGAAGGGATGAATGATTTTTAGAATTTTTAGACACCTCTGCAAAGTCAAATATCAACGTTGATTTTTTTTATTTTTTAGAGGAAAAATGCTTTTTTATTTATATTTTGTCTTTTTATTGATCAAATTTTACATCATTGTTCATTTTTAAACAATGTTTACTCTCCCCTCCCCTCAGGTGTAGTCCCCATAGAATTTCCTTCACCAGTGCACCCGTGCACCATCACCTCAGTCCCCTGTGCTCCTGATATTTGACCTTGTTAATGACTTTTATATTTTATGACCCGGTCAGACAGGTAAGTAGAAAAACACCAATGGAAAAGAAGCCTAAAAAGAAACCATGTCTGCTGCTCCAGATCCGCAGTGAGCAGCAGCAGCTCTGAGCCAGGTTACAAGAATGAAGAACTGTTGCCTAATTGGAAAGAGCCAGCATTCCAGATTGAAAAAAAAAAAAAAAACCAAAAACCAAAACCTGAAGAGGCTTCTCCTGTTTTGTATATTATGTGAATGATTCACATCTTATATAGGTTTGCACAAGTTCCTGGGACTTGGGGGGAGGGGGGAGAGGGGCGGGGAGAGAATGCTCTGTGTTTATCTCTTGGAAAATAAGAAAATAGTATTTCTCCTTTGCAATCAGTTGTAACAGATGTGAAAATAAATATCCTTGACTCTAATATGACTATACAAAAAGCATCGATGTGTTTCAGGTACTAGATGTTGCTACTATCATCAGGTGATGCCATGTTGACCTTTTTAATCATTCCTCCCTGGCAAGCACAAAGTTGAACCATTATATTTTATATCTGTAAGGATATAGATTATGAAAGTACCCATCAAACTCATTGTAACAGATCTTTTTTGAGTTGACTTCATTCTACATCAAAAAAAAAAAAAAAAAAAAAACCTATGCAATAGCACTGTCTTTACAGTAAGTTCGAGGCCAGGGCAGGGATGGGGCAGGAAAGGGGAACTTGAAACTGCTGCCACCTGCATCCCTGAGACCAGCTGGGGGGCGGGGAGGAGGGTGCGGATAAGCAGTCATGAAAGGAACAAACAGTTCGAGAGAAAAGCAACTCCTCTGAAAAGTAACTTCACTCTGCATTCTCCACCTCCGGTCAAGGCCAGCCCCCTGCCCTATGAAAGCTTACCCTCATCCCTCCAAAGGGCAGACTTCTCTGACCTCCACGCGGGTGGTGAACCGCGCCTGCCTGAGAGCCAATAAAATCTCTGCCTTTCAGAAACTAGGCTTGACTCTCCCTCCCTCCCTCCCTCCCTCTCTCTCTCTCTACTGCACCAAAACCTTTCAGTTACATTCTAATTAAAATTATTTGTCAAAAAAAAAAAAGATTAAAGGAACTCTCCTACACTGCTGGTGGGAATGTAAACTGTTCCAACCACTATGGAGAGCTGTGTGGCCGTGCCTCAATGTGCTAAAAATGTAGCTTCCCTATGATCCAGCAATTCTACACCTAAGCATTTATCCAAAGGACACAAAAACATTAATTCGAAAGGACACCTGTACCCTTATGTTTATTGCAACACTATTTACAATAGGTAAGCTATGGAAACAACACAAATGCTCTGAAATAGATGACTGGATCAAGACGTGGTATATATACACGTCTCAGCTATATTACTGAATATTACTCAGCTATCAAAAAAGATAAACTCATGCCATTTGCACCAACATAGATAGAGCTGGAAGGGATCATTCTCAGTGAAATAAGTCAGAAAGAAAAAGAAAAATAGCGGATGGCCTCACTTACAGGAGGAATGCAGAGGAGCCAAATAAGGGATCAGAAAAAAAGTTATTACAATAAAGCGAAAATCAAAATCAACAAGCAACTATAAACCAGAGACATTCTGCAGGGGGTGGGGAAGGGAGTAGGATCTAAACGGGTGGGAAGAGCACAAGGGACTATGGTGATGGGGCACGGGTGAATTGGTGGTGGGAATTTCACAGGGACTATAATGAGATGAGAAAGTATATATTGTTTTAAAAAATGCAGAACGATGTAAAAAATATATTAAAAAGTAAAATTAAAAAAATATATATTACAATAATGGTAAAAAAAAATTGCTCAGGTAGAGCACATAAATTCCCATTAGTAGAATTTGTCTTTATGATTTTTTTCCTTATGGGATTCGTGCAGTCAATGTTTCAGGTGGTTGCTAAGGCCTGAATGCTCGTGTCCCCCCAAATTCATCAACCAGCACTAGCCATTATTAGCCTGATTAATAATAACAACTCTTCGGGGACATTCCCAAATATACCCACCCAAGCGCAGCTGGAAAGAGGAGCCCAAGGGTGTCTTGAGTGATGCCCAACAATCAGCAACGGGCCCGCCAGAGCAGCTCCCCACACTCCTCCCCAGGAAGACAACGCTGGGCGCCAGCCGCCTGTCGCGCTACATCCGAGTCCCCCACTGCGCGAGCTCGAACTCTCGCGAGAGCCGCCGCAGACTCACTGAGTCGCAAAGCGGCGGGAACTCAAGCTCTCGCGAGAGTGGGCGTGACCTAATTGCTCCGCGCGGCTGTGCGCGGCCGGAGGCGGGAGTCATGGACCGTCCCGGGCCGCCCTGCGGCCGAATGGACAGACAGCAGGACCGCGACGTGCGCGAGCTCGTCCGCCACTTGGCGGGCGTCCAAGACGAGGCGGACCCCAACTTCCAGCTTGCCCTGCACTTCGCTTGGTCCAACTTCAGGTGTGGGACGCGGCGCCGGGGCCCCTAAGGGGTCAGGTGGGGCCGGGCCGCCCCGCCCACCCCCCACCCCCACCCAGGGTCCCGCCATCTCCGCGCTGCTCGGGGCCCTCGGGCGCGCGGGTCCCGTTCACAGGGGACGCGCGCTTCGTAAAACAGTGGATTGTTGTGGGTGGGTCTCCCGGGAGAAGGGGTCTGTATTTGTTGTTTGCTCCACCCACTCCATAGCGTGGGGCACTGCACGAAGCATCATTTTTTTGATTGAGTGGGTAGGTGACGTTTTGAACGAAACAGTGGCCACACCCTGCTTAAAACTCTTCTCACCGACTCCATCTCCCCTCTCGGATCACTCCAGATAGCCCCGACGCTGCTCTCGCTGTTATTTTTTACAAAAAGCCTAGCATGACACATTGGATACCTTAACCTGTAGTTGGCTGTGTGTCCTCCTCTACCTCCGGTTAGAATGCAAGTTCTAAGAGGGGAGGGATCTTGGTCAGCTTGGTTTTGAGCCCAGCACGTAGAACAGTTCTTGGCACATGGCACATTAAAAACCATCTAATGGAATTAGAAGTTAAGCAACTTATAGTTTCTCATGTAATTAATTTATAAAATTGTATCTAGATACAGGTCAAGTCGGAACTGCTTTCCTATTTTTCTTTATGGAAGATGTAGATTAGACAATAACAAGTTTCTGAAACAATAAACTCAGTTTTTAAAATGTAACATGACAATGTTGAATAGGTACTATTAGAAATTTTAATGCCATTTTCCCTAATTTTTCTATTCACATTTCCTAATAGCAGTGGGAAAATTGGTGTCATTTTAGAGTTGGAAGTTACTGTCTTCTTTTACACATTGAGAAACTAAATCATACTGGGTAAAGTGGTGTGCCACTCAGTCATTTACTGGAATAGAATTAAATATGTTATTTAATAGTGTGATTTTTAGATTGTTGGGTTTGAGACTAAAAAATGGAAAACGAGTTGAATGAGCTATACTATCTATGAACAATGCCTGTTTTCTTTTTAAAAAATTACAGTCGTGTTCTGGGCCGTAGAAAGACAGAAACAGTTGGATATAGCTTCCATCCTTAAGGCAGAGACAAAAGTTAATTACATAAATGTTGAATAGAAGTTCTTAACCAGAGTGCCTGATGATAGAATTCAAGTGCGATGAATTTGAACAAGAAAAAATGAAAATGATCCTGGCCTCTGAAAAGTAGCCTTTCCTTTCAATTGTGAATGAAAACAGCAGTATTAGTTAACCTATGAGTCTGTCATCAGTAGAAGTCCTCTTTCACATATTATGGTTGTTGCATAAATTTCTAAATATTTGCTGTTACTTGAATGGTATTTATGGACCCAATGCTACATCTTGTTATATAATACTTTAATAAAGAAATACGTGTTTTAATGTATCACAAAATTTAAAAAATATTTCACAGCCATATTTAAGTGTACTTGGTTTCCTTTGTATTTCATTTTATGATTTAAAACCATTGTTCTAAGAAGGGGTCCCTAGGCTACACTGGGCTTCAGTATGGCATGAAAAGATAAGGAACCCCTGATGTTAAGTGCTATGATGTGCTTAGGGCATTACAGGAAGACAATAGTACCACAAGACAATTTGGGGAGACTCAATATCACCTGTATGCTGCGAAAGGGCGCTTTAGCAGTCTCTGATATGTGGTGATGGTTTGCCTGGATGGTGGAAGAAATTCAGAGAGAGAGAGATGCACTCATAGAAATATATCAGTATAATTAAGTATAAGGTGATGGTGAGATACATATGACAATTCCATTTTATCATTTAGATTTCATCGTTTCTTGGATGTCAACAGCCACAAAGTAGAAAAGATAATAGAAGGGTAAGTCACTTTTATATATTTGTGTATATGTATGTATACAGAAATAAGTTAGTTCTTATAGGGCTTTTGTTTACATAGTTTTATAACTATCCGTTGATTTTTTAAATATATTTTAGAATTTATGAAAAGTTCATCATCCATTCTGATCTCAGCAAAGCTGCTAGTTGGAAGAGATTAACTGAGGAATTTTTAAATGCATCGCTTCCGAACATAAAAGAAGTAAAGGTATGTCTTCTAGTATGAGATGTCTGCTGTATATTCATCATTTCCTCTCTGATTATTGTCAACTTGTTTATGTTAATATTTAAGCATATTCTATTTCAGTATTGTCCATGGGCTAGACTATAATCTGGAAATTTCCAGCCCCAATCAGCTGTGGAAATTGAGATCAGAAATTGGCACAAATGGTAGCACTTTCTGGCTGGTTAAAATTTTAAATAGCTTCTCAGCACTTGGTAATAATAACTACCTGTTTACTACTTACTGGATACCAGGAGCTGTTCAGAACACTAATATTGAACCTTAGATTCCCCAATACCACCTATAGACTTGATGTTTTGCTAGATGGATTCGTAGAACTCAAAAAAAAAAAGCTACTATCCTCACTGTTAGGGTTACTACAGTGAATGGATACAGGTTTAAAATATGCAAATGGAAAAGGTGCATAGGGCAAGTCCAGAAAAAATTGGGTCCAAGATTCTCAGTGGAGTCACATAGAGATGCATTTAATTCTCCTAGTGATAGTCTGTAGCAACACAAAGTGTTGCAACCAGGGAAGGTCAGCCTTGGTGTCTAGGATTTTCATTGGGGTTCAGTCATATGGATGTGCAATGTCCTGTGGCTGACCTTACTAAATCTCCAGTCCCTCAGACATCAAGCAGAGACTTTTAAGCCCACAAAAGGAGGCATTTACCAGATGTCATGTTGTTGGCATAAATTGTCTGGTCACACGGATACAGCCTACAGAATAGCTCTTCGCAGCAGGATGGTCCAAGGATTCAGAAGTTCTTTCTCTAGGGAGCCAGTCAGAGGCCAGTCTGGAAGAGCTTTGAGATATGTGGGGGTTTGGGCAACCCAGACCTCCTGAGTTAACCCTTTCTGCACACAGTAACCTGCAAGGAGTATTCTGTTATTGCTAGGCATTGCTTTTGTCTACACTTGGAGGATTTGTTTCCCAAGGAAGGGAGCTTTAGATTTTAATTGCCCATCAACTTAAGGAAAGGCCACAGTGGTATCTCCTTATGTGTCCACATTTGAACTATGAAAAAAATGTAGAGATTGGATTTATTTAGGCAAAGCTCATGTTTTTTCAAATCAGGACACTTACTGAGGCTATAACTGTCATTGGGTTATCTTTACTGAAACTAGTTTAGAAAGCTCTTATCAACCTCAGTAATTCATATTGTTCATTTTTTGTTTTAAAGACAGATACACACTATTCCATACTGTCACTTCTTCTGTGTCTGTCCGATTCTCCTTCAAACAGCAATTATGTGGAAACACCAAGAGTTAAAGAAGTGGGTATGTTACCAAGTGTTTTTACATATAGCAAATGAAAGAGAAATTCGTTGTATTACTTTATTAATAGACATTGATAGTTCAAAAATAGATGTGTAACTATGAAACTTAAATAAGTTCTGACTGTAAACTATCTGCTTTCAATTAATATAAAAAAAATCACCTGGGGATCACAGATATTAGAAATTTAAATGTACTAGAATATTAATTTATAAATTATTTCAGTTATTTCATGAATACATTTTACATTTTGTTAGCCTTTTCCCTATAGTTGTAGGGTATGTTTTTGTGTGTTTCTGATAAAGCTGATGCAATTCTTTTGTTATGTTTTAGAAAAGAAAGATGATTTTGACTGGGGAAAATATTTGCTGGAAGGTGAAGAAATTAACCTTGGTCTAAATGTAGACACACCAGTAAGTAGCAGTAGCTTTACTATTGAAAATATAAATACATGTCAAGTGATACAGATGACTTTTATGGCTCTTTCTTCTGTAGAACAACTTGACTAAAATAGGAACGCTTAACTAAATGAAAGTATTTGTTATGGAAGATATATTAAGTTTTTGCACCAAATCATTAGTAGTAGGAAATTCAACAGCATGAATACAGGTATCCCTAAGGAACTATAAATCTTGAGATTTTTGCCACCCAAAATAATTCTTTCCTATAGTAAGAATTTTCAGGACATTCAGGAAAATGTAATTTGGAATAGTTTTTGCTTTTCTTCTGAAATATTTTTAATCTCAATAACTCTAGTTGTTATACACTCTAAGGGTAAGGTATATTTCCTATTTTAATCAGAATTGGTCTGAAGAAAGTGAAGATGAAGATGATCAACAACCACTGAGCAGAGAGGACTCTGGGATTCAGGTGGACAGGACACCATTAGATGAACAAGAGCAAAACAGAAAACCGGGGCCTTGCATCAGCTGGAAAGGTACTGTGTCACAGATGCTGGCATCTTTTTTATTTTATTTTTTTAAGATTTTTTTATTTATACAAGCACTGGGTACAGTCAGAAGCGCGGGAGGGTGAGAGAATTCACCAGAGCCAGAGAGGAGAGCAGAGCAGGCAGACTGATGAAGTACTCTGCTGAGGGGAGCAGTGGGCGGCAGGAGAGGTCTGTGCGCCATGTGGGACCCTTGCCCGGCGGCCGGGGATCGAACTGGCGCTGCAGAGGCTAAGGGCAGCTTCACAACCCAGCACTCAACCACTATACCATAGGGGAGGCCCCCATCTGGCATCTTTTTTAAATAGAGGAATTTTCTAGAAGGAAGGGCAAGCTTTGAGAATTAGTTCCATATGATTTAAGATGTTGATAAGTCCTGCCTTCTTTATAAAACAAATTTTTAATCCATATGTAGATTTTTTTCTCTAGTAGCTAAGCAGTAACTCTATAGAGTTAATGTTGAAACGTGTGTGGTGAGTGCAGTTTTGTTCTTTTTTTAATAATTGTAAGAACTTTGTTAGTCCTACATGTTCCAATGTATCTTTTATTGAAGAAAGATGGACTTTGCTCAAGTTAGTAACCAAATAAAAGGAAAAGAGCTTTGATTCGAGTGTCTACTTTTTCAGTTTGTAGTGAAGAAATACGAATTGGTACAATCTAGAAAGAGCTAGAAGCAACCTTATAAATTAGATCATCTGACTTTATTTTTCATTTTCTAGATAAGGAAACAAGCCCTAGTTAAGTGGTTTTCCCAGGCTCATATACCATAAAGTTCTCCCCAGAAGCTGGCATTAGTGACCTGGCCCTGTTGACTGTGCTTGAACCTTGCCGAATGAACATTAACCAACCAAAGTTGATTTTGTATCCTAATCATTTCTGGTTTTTGTTTTTAATTCCAATTGAGTTGGATCTTTAGGAGGAGTGTGAATTAGTCACCTTAGAACACATTGTCAGCAGTAGTCCCTACAGAGCCATTTAGTTTAGTCATTTTCTTCCCTCCTGCTATTTCTGGTTTCCACTCCATTTTCCTTTCTCTGCCAGCCCACTTAACCAGTTCTATTGTGTTTAATACCTGTATTCTCACATATGTTGCGCTCTTGTGAGTGCTCTTGTGGTATACCATGTTTAAAATTGCACACTGGTATAATAATAAAAAACAAAATTCACAGGCAACTCTAAATCAGAGACATTCTGCAGAGGAGGGAGAGGGAAAGGGATCAAAACAGGGGAGGGAGGAGCACAAGGGACAATGTGATGGTGCTCTGGTGAATTGGTGGTGGGAATTTTACAGGGACTACCCCTGAGAGGAGAAAGCAAGTATTATATGAAAAATGAACAATAATGCAAAATATATACAAATAAATAAATTTAAAAATAAAAAAATTGCATCCTGATATTAGGCCGTGTATAAATTTTGTTCTGTTATGCTTTTCATTTAACTCAGTTTTAAATTGGTTGATTGGCTCTCTGAACTTCTCTTCCACTGCTTTTAACTGCAGCATTGGGTTCTGTGGTTTGTCACACCACATTTCCATTGTTGCCCTCTTGTGGACAGACCCCAGTCTACCTTCACTCCCCTCTACTTAGTGCGATGCTCATGGACCTGTGCTCCCAATATCATCCCTACTTGATGAGATTATATAAATATTTTCAGGTAGCTATTATTTTAAAGAAACTTTTTTAGTTGAACATTTAAAGGGACTCATAAGTCCAAATATTGTGACAAAGATGATCAAATATATTTTTTATATATATTTTTTTTTCTTTACCTGATTCTTATAAAATAAACTTAATAAATTTCCTTCTGATAGATGAGTCAGATTGCCGAAGCTGGCTGGAGCAGCATGTGGTCCGTCAGTACTGGACAACTGGGTCATCAAGATTTCCTCATAGTTTGCATTTGCATTCCAATTTAGCTGCTGTCTGGTAAGAAGCTAAATTTCTCGTTTATTGTAATGATAGAAGAATCTGATTTTTTTTTTAATATAGGGTTTTGATTTGTGATTTAAGTCAAGTACTTCCTAGAAATTTAAACTTAACCTTCTTAACAATTGTAATTTAACCATTTGTAATTTTTTTTAATGAAATTATTATTTAACTACGTCTTTTGTATCAAGGTGAATGGATTGGTATATATTTGGCCATTTATTTGATTTCTCTCTTCAAGTATTTATTATAAAAATAGTTGCAGTTTTCCACAAAGCAAAAATACACAGTTTTAAATATTTGCCTAGGTCAGCAATAAAGGTCACAGTTAGAATTTCTCCAAAAATACTTCTCTGAGGGTATTTTGGTGGTGCATAGAAGTGAATATGGGAGGGCACTTAAAGCTCATGTTGTACTTATTTGTTATTGTTGCTAAATTGCATATATTCTCTTAGAGTTGCCATTTTGCTTAATGAGAAACCTCTTTATTGACATCTGATGTTGGCTGTCTAACAGGGACCAACATTTGTACATCAGTGACCCGTTGTATGTGCCAGACGACAGAGTAGTTGTTACTGAGACACAGGCTATTCGGGAAACCCTATGGTGAGACCTCTTTTTTTTTTTTGCCCAAGATTTATTTATTCATGCATACAAGAATCGGGTACAGGTCAGATGTGTGGGAGGGTGAGAGGATTCACCAGAGACAGAGTGGGGAGCATAACAGGCAGATTGACGGAAATACACTGCTGAGGGGAGCAGCAGGTGAGACAGGAGAGGTCTGCCGCGCCATGTGGATATCTCTCTGGCTGGCCGGGATGGAACCCACACTGCAGAGGCTGCGGACAGCTTCATAGCGCTGCGCTCAACCACCTGCACCACCAGGGAGGCCCGGTGAGACCTCTTAGCCTAACTCATGGTTGAGAAATTATTGGTGAGATGCAAAATTTTGGTTTTTTTTAAGAGAGGTGTTTAGGGGGGTTTCACATGCAAACTAGAAAAAGACCACTAGGTATGACTCCCATTGGGCACCTAAACTTGGATTAGGGGACTCTCATGAAGCTTAAACTTCAGATTTGAGTGACATTGTGAGATTTTGGTATATTTACCTCTTTTTCTATTTTAAATAGCTTGGTGCTATATAGGATTTAGATAAGCCCATCATTTTTTAAATATTTGAGTTCAGAGCAGGTTCCTAGGAAGAGGTTATCAGTAAGAGGTAGTCTGCGCCTATGTCTGGAAACCAGGAATCCAAGAATATAGATTCCATTACAAAAATGAAAATGAGAACTGCAGCGTGTCATTCAGCTGCTAGGATTTCCAGGTTCTAGCCTTCTGTGCCATAAAGTATAATATTGACATTTGTAAAGATGGGAAGATCTCTTTGGACCATCATACACATGTAGAGAAAATTCTTTGACAACACTGTTTTTAAACTTTTCTCCAAGATGATATTGAAATATCTTGAGTCCTGAGGTAATCAGATAAAAAGGATTGATATCTTCGATTTTCTTATTACCTGACCTCTTTGCTCCCCTCCTCAATTCTCAACCTTTTATTAAAAATTCAAGGCATTACTGTAGTGAAAATTTTTGTAGACTTAAAGTACACTCATCTTTTTTATTTTATTTCAGGTTACTTTCAGGGGTAAAAAAGCTCTTTATATTTCAGTTGATAGATGGGAAAGTAACGGTGAGAAACAATATTATAGTAACACACTTGACACATGTAAGTTATTTGTATTTATTATAATTAGAATTGATAGGATTTATTTAAACCATGGTAATAAAACTTTAGAACATTTGTAGTATTAAAATAAACTGTCAAATATATTGAAGATTGTAAAAGAGAAATTGAATTGTACAGCTCCTAGTGCTTAGAAAATTCTTCCAATATTATTTGTATAAGTCATATTTTGTTTTGATTTATGTTTTCTGCTTCTGATTCCTTTCCTATGTTGGGATAGTGGTGGGATGTGCTCTTTGTTGGGTTTATTTTACCTATAGTACACTTACCTTGTATGTGTTTTTTTTTTTTCAGTATAAACTATAATCCTGTATGCTGTAGAAATCAGTGCTTACACTATTTCCTTTGAATTTAAACTAAATATTTGTTTTATTACTGTCTTCTACTCAACATACTGTTTAAAACAGTCCCAAAAGTATTTTACAGTGAGGGGACTATGAGTCTCAGTGCTTAAGAAAAACCAACTTTAAGTAACTGCAGTTGTTTCTGTTATAGAGCTGCTTGCGATCATTGCTGGAACAAATCGCTGCCTATGGCCAAGTTGTTTTTCGGCTCCAGGAATTCATTGATGAAGTCATGGGGCACAGCTCTGAAAACATGTTACCTGGAAATGGTTCCATTCCTAAAAAGTCCACTGAAGCTCCCTTTAGAACATACCAGGCTTTCATGTGGGCCCTGTACAAATACTTCATTAGTTTCAAAGAGGAACTGACAGAAATTGAGAAGTCCATCATCAATAATGGTATTTACATGTTTTCCCTTTTACTCATAAAACACCTAACTCACATTTTGAGTACCATTTGCATTATTAAATGATAAAAAATTAATTACATGGCAAATAATTTTGAATGCATTCATTTTGTAAGTTATTTTAAATTTATATTTTAAACCTTTCTTGTCTCCAAAAGTACAAATAGTGCAGAAGAATTTGCAGTGAAAATTCTTCCTCCTGTACCAGTTGCCCAGCCAAGTACTCAGTTCCCCTCCCCAAAGGAAACCAAGACATCAATTTCTATGTAGCCGTCCAGAAATAGTTTATATATATGCAGGCAGTGTATGTACATGTGCACATACCTAGTAATCCATCACACAACTCTTTCACATTGTTTTCTAATTTAAATTATGAGGATCATACATACAAGTAAGTAAAGCCCCTTCTCATTACTTTTTTTTACAAATTGAGTGTTTCATTGTAGGGATGTATCATAGACCAATCCACTTGTGATGGACATTTCAGATTTCTGACTTTTGCTATTGCCAGCATTGCTATAGTGATAGCCACTTACATTTAAGTGATTTTACATGTGTGGGGCAAATTATCTGTAGTGTAAATTCTTAGGCATGGAATTGCTAGGTCAAAGGGAAAGTGGTGGGTTGTTTGTCTTTGATAGAGACCTCATTGTGCTCCAGAGGTATATAGGTCAGTAAGTTTGTACTCTTGTCATCAGTGTAAATGAACACCTGTTACTGCACACTCTTAGTGTCAAACTTTTAAGTATACAATGGAAATCCAGTATACTTCCCCCGCCCCCCAACTATTTTCAACTACTATAAAAATAGTAGAGAGGCCCCCCTGTTCTTTCCACTCAGCCCCCAATGGTAACACCTTAAATAATTACAGTATATTACCAAAATTAGGAAACTGACGTTGGCACAGTGTTTACTGCAGTTACTTGATGTGGGTTTCACACAAGTGAGTTTTGCAGGAACTTGATTTTGGTCGAGGGGAGGGGGTTTCGGGGTGAATAGTCTTTGAATGTGAATCTGTGAAATTTTATCGCATGTGTAAATTCTTATGACTACCTCCATAGTGGGGATGCAGAATTGTGCTGTCTCCATGGAAGGTGATCATGCTGCCCCTTCATAGTTACCCCTTCCCTCACTGAAACCCTAGCCCATTGTAGTCTTATTTACCGAGGGTAGTTTTAATTTACATTGTTTTATTATGAGATTGAGTGTCTCTAGATGTTTAAAAATCACGTGAATTGTTAGTTCCTTTATATATTTTTTTGTTGAATGATCTTTTTAAGTAAATTCATTCCTTTTTATATATGATAGTAAAACCTACCACTTTCCAGTTTGATATGTCTTTCCACAAATGACTTAACACTTATATCACATTTTGAATGCATGTATTTTTGTCCTTGCTAATGAGTTTGATTGCTTGCTATTTGCAGACACAACAATAACTCTTGCAATAGTTGTGGACAAGTTGTCACCTCGACTGGCTCAGCTCAAAGTTCTAAACAAAGTGTTTAGTACTGGAGTTGCAGAAGTTCCACCTGACACTCGAAATGTTGTCCGAGCATCTCACCTTCTCAACATACTGTACAAGGCCATTCTTGAGTATGACAATGTTGGAGAAGCCTCTGAGCAAACCGTATGTGGGACCCTTGTCTAGTCTAAAATGCATGCATCCTGCTCTGCCAAAGGGGAGGTGGGATAGCCTGTCATAGCTCTTTGTAAAAATGGTGCTTAAATCACAGTGTCAGATAGGTGATCAGAGTTTTTAAATTAGCTTCCAAATTCCAGGTTATAGAAAACTGGCTTTTGTTATTACTGTTAGGCTCACTGTTACTACTGTTATTACTGTTAGGCTTTTGTTATTACTGTTAGATGTTGAGACAAGTACAAAGCAAAATACAAAAGCAAGATGTGGAAAACGCCTAGTTCACATAGGTATTTGCAGTAGCCATTTCTTAAATAAAATATAACCCTATTATATGAGGTATCTAGAGTAGTCCAATTTATTGCAATGGAAAGCAGAATAGTGGTTTTCTGGGGCGCAAGGGGAAAGAAATGTTTAATAGATGAGAGATTTTGTTTTAGAGCATGAAAATGTTCTGGAAGTCTGTTTCATAAAAGTGTGAATATACTTAACATTGCTGAACTGTGTACTTAATGGTTAAGATAGTAAACTTTGTGTTATATAACTTTTTCCCACAATTTAAAAAAAAAAATCAGCTATATAGACTACCAAAAAGTTGTAGGTTTGTTTGTGTACATGTTTTAGTTGTTTTTCCTAATTTATTGGTGTACCTTTGTTTTCTTACCATTTTAGTACTATAGTTCAATATACAGGAACTTGACCTTTTTGGAGTTATACAATTTTTTTTTTCTGCTGGGAACTGTAGTAGAATTAAATCATTTTCTCATTTTTTATGGACAGTTTGCTAGTAGAGGAGATAACTGTATCCCAGCATAGACTGTCCAGGTTAGACCTGCTGTGCCTGTGTAACCTTCATTCTCAAGAAGATCCTAGTGTGGCCCACAGACTATATGGTCACTGTTGTTTTTACATGAATTTCTCATAAGGATTTTATAGTATGTTTTTTGGATTTTAATTACTTTGTTGAAGTAAGAAAAAACAGAAATATGATCACTTTTTTAAAGGCGTTTCTGAAATATTTAGACCACATTTCATCGAGAGTTGAGGGAGTTCTGAGAGGCCTGCACGCTCTCCCCAGGTCTCCCTGCTGTTCTCTCTCTGGGTGGAAACGGTACGGCCCTACCTCCAGATTGTGGATGAGTGGATCGTGCATGGACATCTGTGTGACAGCGCCAGGGAGTTCATCATCCAAAGGTAAAGGCTGGCAACTTGCAGTTTGGGAGGCATGCTGGGTGCTGCTTTTACGTCTGTCCTCTCATGTGGAGAGTGTGCACTTTCATTGGCATCAGATGATACTGAGGGAGAGCTGTTCACATGATAGCTGTTTGTCACCATAGGCAAGTCCTGTTGCTTTTTTATAGAATACACAAGTTGCTGACCAAAAATATCTTTTTCTGAGTTTTATATCACAGTTTTTATCAGGAAATTATATTTTTGAATAATAGTGTTTTTATGATTGGCTAATAACAGTAAAAGGTGTACTGCTTCCCATAAAATTAATTTAGATGATATCAAATGGTTTCAACTACTTACATTATAAATTTTCAGTAAGGTAAAAGATATGAAAATATTATAGAATATACTTCTTAATGTCCTTATCTTACCAAATTAGCTACTTTTTATTTCTTTTTTTAAAAGATTTTTTTTTTTAAGAGATTTATATATTTATGCATACAAGAGCTGGGGTATAGACCAGAGATGCAGGGAGGTGAGAGGATTCACCAGAGACACAGTGGGGAACAGAACAGGCAGACTGACTGAAATACACAGCTGAGGGGAGCAGCGGGCGAGACAGGAGAGGTCTGCTGTGCCATGTGGGTTGCTCCCTGGCCTTCTGGGGATCGAACTCGTGCTGCAGAGGCTGTGGATTGCTTCATAGTGAGGTGATTAACCCCTTGTGCCACCAAGGAGGCCCTAAAGATTTGTTTATTTATGCATACAAGACTGGGGTACAGGCCACAGGTGCAAGGGGTGAGAGGATTCACTGGAGACAGAGTGGGGAACAGAACAGGCGGACTGACTGAAATATACTGCTGAGGGGAGCAGTAGGCTGAGGAGAGGTCTGCTGTGCCATGTGGGTCAGCTCCTTGTGCTGTAGTGGCTGTGGATAGCTTGATAGTGCTGAAACTTAACCCCTTGCACCACCAGGGAGGCCCTAGCTACTTTTTCTAAAATTTCTTAGTATTTTAGTACAATGACTAAGAAAAATTGATTCATTTGTATTGAACCCCTTCAGCTAATTTATTTTCTGAACAGAATTCATGTAAGTAACAAGGTAGAGCTGTTTGTACTCTTAACTTTTTAACTGTTTTAAGTTAGGCATTTTGTTTAGTTTCATTAATTCACAGCTATCCAGTTAACTCATCAAGAAGGATAATATTAGGTCCTTAGTGCTCTAAAAAGGTAGCCCTTTTCACACAGTGCTTGTGTAAATGAATTGTCCTTTCTCTAATTGACTCTTTTGTCCTGTTTCATTGATCTCATATGAAAAGTTTTGTGAAAATGGGATTCTGACTCTTCTTAGAGGGTGATGAGTATCCATCACTTTGTTGTTAAAAGCAGTCCTGTTAAGAATCTATATGGAAATAACATCACTTGTAATCAGGGAAATGCAAATCAAAACTACCATAAGATACCATCTTACACCAGTGAGAATGGCACATACTAGAAAAACTAGCAACAACAAATGTTGGCGAGGTTGTGGAGAAAAAGGAACACTCCTGCACTGTTGGTGGGAGTGCAAACTGGTCCAACCACTATGGAGAGCTGTGTGGAGATTTCTGGACCTACTAAACATAGAACTTCCATATGATCCAGCAATTCCATTCCTAGGTATTTACCCAAAGGACACAGAAACATCAATTCCAAAGAGCACCTGCACCCCTATGTTTATAGCAGCACTGTTTACAATAGCTAAGCTTTGGAAACAACCCAGATGCCCAAAAATAGATGACTGGATCAAGAAGATGTGGTAGATATACACCATGGAATATTACTCAGCATTCAAAAAAGATAAACACATGCCATTTGCAGCAACATGGGTGGAGCCAGAAGGGATCATGCTCAGCGAAATAAGCCAGAAAGAAAAAGAAAAATACCGGATGGTCTCACTCATAGCAGGAATCTAGAAAACTTAAATAAGGGACCAGGAAAATGAGTAACTATAAGAAAGTGAAAATCAAAATCAACAACTATGAACCAGAGACACTCTATGGGGGTTGGGGGGGTGGGGAAAGGAGGGGTTGGGGTCAAAATAAGGGGGTTGTAATTGTATGGGGAATATAAAAATAAAATAAAAAAAAAAACGAAATTTCTCTAGCAATTGTCTACTCTGAGAAAAAAAAGAAGTTTCTCTTCTTATCTTCAAAAAAAAAAAGAATCTATATGGAAATAAAGATATAAAACGGAGATTACTTTCACAGGAGATGGAGAAATGGATAAGCTTTTTTATTCTACCTTTAAAGAGAACCAAATTATCACTTATTTAATTCCAATTTAAGAACTTTCTACTTGTTTTAATTTAGGCCATTCAGAGTATCCACTTTTCAATGTTAAACTGAAGTCTGACAATCCTTTGCCCCATTTTGCCTAAAGATTGCTTTGTTTTACAATAATTGGCCTTACTGTGTTTCAGAATACCTGGACAGCGTGTTCAAGATAGAATTGTGTTGTTTGGGGTTTTTTTTTTTTTTAAAGTTGAAGTTTAAAATTCTTTTGAATCTCTATAGAAACAAAAATGTTCCAGTCAATCACCGAGACTTTTGGTATGCAACGTACACATTATACAGCGTATCAGAGAAAACAGAGAATGAAGAAAAAATGAGTGATAATGCGAGTGCGAGTTCAGGCAGTGACCAGGGGCCCTCCAGCAGGCAGCACACTATGGTGTCCTTCCTCAAGCCCGTGCTGAAACAGATCATAATGGCTGGCAAGTCTATGCAGCTACTGAAGAATCTGCAGTGCTCAGAGGGCACCACCTGCCAGGCCACAGCCAGAGGTATCAGACCTTCCTCGTGTATCTTCCCCACACCCACCATTGCTCTCCCTTCTTGCTTGTTTTGAGATACGTGATTATTTTGTAGCTTAAAAATTAACAAAACCTTTTATTTTCATGAAAATTATTTAGCTGTAATAGGTAATAGGCAAAGTAATAGGTCACGCTGTTCTTGATTAAAAACAAAGATGTCCTCATTGGAAACATCACACTGTTAGAAAGGCGGTGGTAATAAATTCCACGTGTGTTTTCCTCACTGCTTAAGCATAGTCCTGACATTGCTTCATGCCATGTGGTGTGGTGTTTCGCTTTTGAGGACCATGGACTCTGACAAGTAGGAATTTGTTGATGAGCTATTCAGATTTGATCATAGATTTCAAGAAAATCTTGATATAATATCTTGTCTTCTCTAATGCAATCTGCTTTAAATTTTATCAGCTGAAAAGGCTTTAAAGGTATACATATGAACTTAGTTGTTTTGTTTGTAAATCACGTTACAATTACCTGAATTATTTTGCTTACTCTAGTGTACCTACCTTAAATAATACTGTTGTTTTTTTTGACTGAATAATAAAATGTAATGTTACTGTCATTGTGTTATTGCCACTGTCAGAAGTGTTTTTTTCCCATAAAGTTGACTCAGTTAGTGTTCTTATAGTTTAATCCACCATGATGGTAACTTTCAAGTATCCTCTTAGGTTTTCACTCTGTCCTGAAAAGTTAGTTTATATTTTGGATATTTAACCATGAACTTTGCAGTTGTTTAACAGGATACAAAAATGTTTAGTTGCACTATAATATAAAGAAACAGGGATAGACCAATGGAAAAACACAGGCTATCCTGAGATAAAATTATCTGATATTTCTTAATATTATTTACCAGAACATGATTCACATTACATAATTCTTTGTTTCAGATGCAGACAGAAAAAGCTTATATACCCTCTTTCTGGAATCTGTGCAGTCACGTCTGCGACATGGAGACGAGTCCACTGCCGTGGACTGCACCGAGCAACAAGCAACCAAAGAGAACCTAATAAAGATGCAATCCATTGCTGAGAGGCATCTGGAACTGGATGATGCTCACGATCCTCTGTTGGCAATTAACTTTGCAAGGTGACACACACCTGCAGGATTTTCAGTGACTGAAAGGGCAAGATCTGTGCAATATTTAGTAATTGTTTGTTTCTGCCAGGTAGGGCTTTCCAGTCTTAAAAAACAAAATCTTTGTTGCCTATCCTTCCTAATGGATGGAATACAAGAAGATAGTGCTTACACTTATTTGTAGTTGCCTCTCTATTTGTGGAAACCCACAGACTGCCTCTCTTATCTCTTTTCTGGATACAGGCAAAGAAGCCATTTGGAAAGCATAGGTCAGGAGGTACATCACACACACCTTTAGTTAGATCCTCCCTCTGCATGAACCGAATCTTGATGCTCAGATATTTTGGGGGCACTTCGCCAGATGAAATAAGTCAGTGCCCACAAATTACCCTATTACCTGAAGCCTAGAAAGACCTAGTCAGTGCTTTACCCTAAAAGGCATAGCAGCAACTCTGTGAATGACTGGTTCACTCAAAGGCTATTTTGAGAGACAGGATTTTCTATAATTGTTGGTAATTTTTTAGGACTAAAGGTAAAAATGGGACTCTGACATGTAAGAGAATTCTCTTGACAATAGCTGTTAAAAAGACTTATTTTTATTTTTAAAGGTTGTATTTGGAACAGAGTGATTTTCATGAGAAGTTTGCTGGTGGAGATATATGTGTGGACAGATCATCAGAGTCTGTGACGTGTCACACCTTTGAATTAACGCTGAGGTCTTGCCTATATCCTCATATTGACAAGCAGTATCTTGATTGCTGTGGAAACCTCATGCGCACTCTAAAAAAAGATTACAGGTACAGTGGAGTCCTTCAGTTTTGGAAGTAGCCAGTACTTTAAGTGTATTGTATTTTAAGAACAGTTGAAAAACTTCTTTTAATGGGATAAATTTGATTTTACTACATTTTATTAATATGGAAATCTCCCTTTTTAAAATTATTTTATTGAAATAATGTTGGCTTACAACATTGTATATGTATTTTAGGGATAGAGGTTTACACCTCTTCAAATGTCTGTTAGTTACCATACCATACTCACTACCCAAGCATCAGTAACTCTCCAACATAGCCCATTGGGTGCTCTCCCGCATTCCCTCCCCAACTCCACCCTACCAGTTCTGCAGTTGAAGTTATTTTAAAGTCAATTTTTATTTCACTTTTTATAAAAATTTAATTTTGTTTAGAGTAGGAAATGGATATGCAATAAACAGTTTTTTTAAATCTCTTTTATTTTTTAAAGATTTATTCATTTATGCATACAAGAGTTGGGGTACAAGCCAGAGATGCGGGGGGTGTGAGAGAATCCACCAGAGACAGAGTGGGAAACAGAACAGGCAGACTGACTGAAATACACTGCTGAGGGGAGCAGCAGGCGAGACAGGAGAGGTCTGCTGCGCCATGTGGGTTGCTCCCTGGCCATCTGGGGATAGAACTCGTGCTGCAGAGCCTGTGGATTGCTTTGTGGTGTGGTGCTTAACCCCTTGCACCACCAGGGAAGCCCTAAGCAGTTTTCTTTTGAGAGGATTAGTGAGCCACCAATGTCTTAACTGTGTTGTGAAATTTAGTTCTTGATTTCTGAGAATCTATCCTTGCAAATGAAATACAAGAAAAAATACAAGAAAAAGCTTATTGCAGAAAACTGGCCATCAAAAAGTTTGCTCTCAGGGCCTCCCCGGTGGTGCAGCGGTTGAGCGCTGGGTTGCGAAGCTGCCCGTCAGCCTCTGCGGTGCCGGTTCCATCCCCGGCTGCTCCCCGGCCACCTGAGGAGGGTCCCACATGGCGCGCAGACCTCTCCTGCCGCCCGCTGCTCCCCTCAGCAGTGTACTTCTGTCCTTCTGCCTGCTCTGCTCCCCGTTCTGGCTCTGGTGAATTCTCTCACCCTCCCGCGCTTCTGACTGTACCCAGTGCTTGTATAAATAAATAAACAAATCTTTAAAAAAAAGAAATAGATGATGCTTTCAAAAAAAAAAAAAAAAAGTTTGCTCTCAGAGGGGAAGCATGAAATGACTTAATGTAATAGGTGACTAGTTCTTTAAGTTATGACATATCCAAAAAATTTTACGTATTCATTTATGAACTTTGTAAGGCTCATACTAATTATGCTTCTACATAGTTTTAAGTAATGTAAATGATCTTAAAGTTTAAGATGCAGGATATAATATATATAATATGGTAGAAACTATATTTTTCCAAATGCATAGGAAAAAATATGCTAAATAGTAGCAGTGGAAATTCACCCATTTGTGGAAGGACTTGAATTAACCTTGTTACCCTTTAATAAGACTGCCCGATTTCCTACAATATTATACATTTCTTCTTGATTAAAGTAAAACGTATACTAATATTTTATCAAGTCTTTAAGCGGTGTTAGTTATTCCTAGTGTTAATAAGTGTGGAGTGTAAACCTCTTTCTCACTGTGATGGAGTATGCAAAACCTAGCAGTGAACCAGAAGCTTGTCTTAAGAGCTTAAGCTCATTGTATCGCTTATTTTCTCTCCATTCAGGCTGGTTGAGTACTTACAGGCCATGAGAAATTTTTTCTTAATGGAAGGTGGTGATACTATGTATGACTTCTACACATCAATTTTTGATAAAATTAGAGAAAAAGAAACCTGGCAGAATGTGTCTTTTCTTAACGTCCAGCTCCAAGAAGCAGTAGGACAACGCTATCCTGAGGACAGTCTGCGGTAAACTATTAGGCAGCACCTTTTATTTTAAATATAAAACAATACGTGGCAAAACTCTTCTATGAATGTTTATATTACCTTTTTTAATTCTCACACTAGTCCTATGTATTTTACTAATGCGATTTTACTATTAGAAAACTGAGGTGAAGGTAGTTGAGTGACTGAGTCAGGAGAGGCAATGAGATGGGACCATCTAGCCGGTCAGGGTCTAGTGGCCCCCCCTTGTGTGGCTGGGTTCTGCTAGCCATGACACCTCCCCTCTCCTCAGCCCTTGCCCTGCAATGAATGGCTGCCTTTTCTGAGGTGGTCTCAGGTGGTATCTGAGAGAATGAGAGCAAAGCCCTCAGCGCCTCACAGACCCTCGCTTCCATTGCTTGCTGCTAGCCAAACCAAGTCACAGGCCAGCCCAAGTTTAGAGATGGGAAATATGTTCACACTTAATAGGCGGAATTGGGGGTTTGCATACCACTGTATTAGGTCATCCCCGACCATGGAACTGACCAACCCTCTGCTCCCCTGTAGTCAGCTGCTGAGCTCTGTGGGTTGGTACTGCTATGCTAAGTCTTAGTATAGCAGAGACTTATCTTCCACTCTGTTTAATGCGCCTTTTTCCTGTTCCATGACCCTGCCGGCCTTCCTTTCTTGGCACGCTCAGTGGCCCTTCAGAAGGAGAGGTAAGAAGGTACTAAGTAGTAGGTAACATTTACTACCTACCCTTGGCATCCTCTTCCTCATAGCAACACTGGGTGACCAGCTATCCACTACTTAGCAGTAGATAAAATAATTAATGTTTAATATTATTTAATTTTTTTTTTTTTTCTGTTATTGCTCATACTATCCCATCATCACCCAAAGGTGATGAGTCCTTTGACGCGAGTGTTCTGGGATAGTGCCCTGCCATCAGGACATCAGGACTGCTGTCAGGCCATCCTGTGCATTGGCTTCCGTGGACCTGTGCCCCTTGCCCAGGAGCACTTGTCTTGTCTTGTCTTACAGATCCCCCGATCTGGGTACCGGGGCATCACCAGTACCGTGTCTTCCCGACTCTGGGCTTTCTTGGTGGATAAGCCCAGAAATATGTAGAAGGAGAAAATATGAATCTTAAGCTCATGTTGATATTTCTTTTTCTCAAACTTTCTTGATTTGCCAATCTATGTAACTATATAATTTGGGGATTACAACTCCACACCTCCATGTGTGCACATGCTTCACTCCCCTTTCACCAAGCTCCAGTGCCCAGGCCCTGTCACAGTCCCTCTCCCACCAACTCCTCCCTCCCCCAACCCCCTCTGGTAACCACTCTGTTTTTCAGAGTCATAGAGTTATTTTTGTTGTGTTTTGTCAGTTTGTTTTCTTTGATCAGTTATATTCCTCAAATGAGTGAAACCATCCAGGAACTGTCTTTCACTCTCTGACTGATTTCATTTAGCATGATCACAAGAGCTATCCGTTTGGTCCCCAAAGGCACTATTTCATCTTTTTTTTTTAATAGTTAAGTAGTAGTCCATTGTGCATATATTCCACAAGTTCTTTATCTAGCCATGTCTCGGGGCATTGAGACTCATTAGGTTGGTTCCGTGTCTTGGCTATTGTGAATAATGCTGCTGTAAATAGAGGAGTGTATAATGCCTTTGGTATTGGTGTTTTCATAACCTTTGGGTAAATATTTAGCAGTGGCATTGCAGGATCATATGATATTTCCATTTTTAGTTTTGTGCAGAATTTCCATACCCTTTTCATTGGAGACATTCCTGCCGACAATAGATGGATGTTTTTTTCTCTACATCCTGGCCAATATTTGTTGTTTCCAGATTTTTTTTTATATATATATAGGCCATTCCCACAGGGATAAGGAGATATGTCTGTGTAGTTTTGACTTGTTTCCCTTATAATAAGTGATGCTGAGCATTTTTTTCTGTCCCTGTGGGCCATCTGAATGTTGTCTGTGGAGAAATGTCTAGCTCTCTTGCCCATTTTTTGATTGAGTTGGTTTTTGTTGTCACTGCTGCATTGTATAAGTTCTTTATATGTTCTGGAAATTAACCTCTGGTCAGATAAGTGATATGCACATGTCTTCTCCCAGTCTACAGGTTGCCTTTTGTTTTTGTTTCCTTTACAGTTGGAGTTGTGTCCCCAAATTCATCTCTGCGGTTGGTGTCCAAGAGAGCATTGCCTGTGTTTTTTTTTTATGTGTTTTATGTTCTCAAGTCTTATATCCAAGTCTTTTGTCCACCTTGAATTGGTGTTTATGTATGGAGTAAAGATCTAATTTCATTGTTTTGCATGTGGCTGTTAAAGCTTCCCAGTATTTAGGAGATTTTCCTTTTCACATTGTGTGGTCGTGACTCCTTTGTCAGATTATAGGATTTTACTTAGTTGATTTTCATTTGTATCTATTCCCTTGAGTACTTAGTAGCACATTATCATAAATACATATTTGCTTTGTTCTATAATAAATAGTAGTTCCAATGAAATAAGAGTAGCACCAAGCACTCTGAGCACGTAAAGCATACTTGTGATTATTTTCCCTTTCTTGTACTTTCAAGTCATCAAAATCCTCTATTTCAAGGTCACTTGGAATGTTTCTCCATGTAATTATACCACCAACCTGATAGAGGGTTGGAGTCCTTTTTTTTTTTTTTTATTTCTACTTTTAGGAATTTCTTTGTTTTCTTTTTCCTCTTGATTCAATTTTATTTTTTAGTTATGTAACATAGCTGTATGTTTCTTAAGTTAAAATTGTTGATGCAAAGGTACTTTTAGGGAGATCTGGCTTCTAGTCCTTCCCATTTTCCCTGTTCCTTATAAATAACCATTTTGTATTAGACTTTGCTTTATCCACCTACTTTTCAAAAACACATGTATATGTATTCCTTTTCCTCCTCACATGTTACACAAAAGGCAGCATGCAGTGTACACTCTCTGACACCTGGTTTATTTTTCTTACATAAATATTACGTCCTGGACCCACTCCACAGTGAGCCTGTCCTTGCTCATCACAGCTGACTTTCCGCCTTGTTCATTCAGCCAGCTGTCCTATTGTTGGGCCTTCGGGTTTCAGTTCTCTTGCTATGCGTGTTTGCAATGACTGCTCTTATACGTCTCACTTCCCATTTGCCAGTGTTGTTTACAAGTGTATTCCTCGAATGGTACTGCTGTGTGATTCTGCCCCAGAGTGGAAAGCATGTGCGCTTCTGCCAGCTGCACCAAAGTCCTCTTCCTAAAGTCTGCATCTTTTCTAACTCCTACCAGCAATGTGCAGAGTAGCTTCTCCATAGCCTCACCAACAGAAGATGTCAAACTTTTGGGGTGTCATCAGTCTGATGGTGACAAACCACATCTCAGTGTAGTTTTAATTTACATTTTTCTCATTATGAGTGAATTCATGAGTTTAGTCATCATTCCAGAGGTTTACTTTTGCATTTCTTTTAAGCTGAACAATCCATACCTCTTGCCACTATTTCTATCAGTATCAGGTTGTTGGTCTTAATTGGCTTCATTTTTAGAAGCTTTTTACATGTTTCCCAACTTGACACTTGTCATCTTATGCTGCTGATGGATAATGATTGTTTTGTGTTACAGACCTGTTTCATTTTATGGCATACCCAAAGTTTTAATCTTTCCCAAGTTATAAAAAAAACTCACCCATTTTCTCTCTCTAATGCTTGAATGAATTTTTTGCATTTTAGATCTTGAGCCATTTGGAATTTATCCAGCTACAAACTGTGAGAAATCAGTTTGGTTCTGTCCTTTTCCAAATGACTGTAGTTGATTCCCGTGGCTTACGTATTTTTTCAAAATCCATCTTACTCCATTTATTTGAGATGCTCGTTCATCATCAGATTTTCATTGCACCTAGATCCCTTTCTGGATTTCTGTAGCCTGTTTCATTTCTGTAGCCTGATTTTTCTATCCATGTGTCAGTATCATTCTATGTTACTAACAGAGCTTTCCTGGCTATGGGTATTCTTGGTTTGTTTTTTTTTTTTGTTTTTTTTTTTGTTTTTTTTTTTTTCAGATGTATTTTGCCATCAACTTGTCTAGCTCCTCCAGTTTGTATCGAGATTGTGTTCCATTGATAGATTAGCCCAGGACAAAGGAGCTACCCTGCAGTACCCCTTCTGCTGTGGCTCCCTGGTTCATGGTGTCATCTGTGCCCTCCCGTTGGCAAAGTCCCAGCACCAATGCCAGAGCTGCTCTCCTGCCCACTCAGTGCCCCCAACTTGTATCCCTCCCACAACCTTGCTCTGAGCAGCCTCTTGAAGGTCCATCCCCCTTCCCCTGCCCTGGGCATAGCTTCTCTCTCTCCTGCCTCAGCACTTTTTCCAGGATAGTTCCAGTCCATGGTACTGGCTTCAGCAGCCCCAGTGGCCTGCACATCAATAACTTTAACCTAGGTTTTTGCATAGCCAGCAGCTGGTGACAATACACAAATGCCATGTGTCTAGAACTGAGCTCATCATCTCCTCTTCCCAAGCCATCCTTTGTTTCTTCTGGCCGAGGCACCACTGTTCATCCCCGTGCCTGAAGACAGGCTATGCCTCCCTGCATCCCTTCTCCTTCTCCCGTCCCTGACATTGAGTCTCTGCCTTCAGGCTGGTTCTGCCTTCAGGCTGACTTTCCCCATTCAGCGCTTGCTCAGCACCCTATTAAGCTACCTTCCCTCCCTTTGTATCTCAGCTCATCCCCTTCCATTTGACCTAGCCAGACCCCATCAGTAACACATTCCACCACTACTCATTCTTGGACTCTTCATTGGTGCCTCTTAACATATGCTTCTCATGAAGGAGAATGAGCTCTACTGTCTGGCTTGTTTGCCCAGCCTCGTCTCTCATAAGAAAGACACATAAAGACATGCCACTCTTCCTAACACACTTTACATCCCGGGGGCATTTTTATTTCTCTAAGAGCCATGCTCTTCCTCCCTCTGAGCCTTCCTGCTTCCTCCTGTTGTGTGCTTTTCCCTTCACATATCCTGGTATATTCTGTGCTACAGAGTTCCACACGGACTGGCTGGGTGTGGGCCTGATTTCTGCTTGATGACTGGAGCATAACTCTGCATACTTGCTCTGGGCTATGAGCCCCTGTAAGGGGTGAAGGGATCAGTTTTCTATTTCCTGCTTGGCATGCCATCTAACAATTAAGCTAGTCAGCAAGTACCTATTAAGCACTTAGTGGACACATATTTCAAGCTGAAAAAATGTCTGATCAGTGCCTGAGACGTGAAATGAGTCAGCCAATTCATAGACACTGTGCCACCTTTTATATCCCTGTTCCTAGGGCTCACTTCCTGCGTCTGCATTACCCTTTTACCTTGCCTGGTCACAACCAGCATCATGACTTTGTGCCTCTATAACCTGAGAATGTGACATAACTTCTCAGTCCACTGACAGGACTTTGAGCACCAGACAAGAACACGAGGCCACACAGTGTCCAGTGAAGGGAAATGTCTGTACCCTGTGTTTGGTGCTCTCTGTTGAGGATCACATTCAAACCAACATCCAGAAGGAGTGGATAAAGCGGTACCCCACACTTCAGAAGAGACCCATTCTTGTCAGTGCTCATGCCCCACATACCCTCTGTCCCCTCCACCTACAACACAAACTTGGCCTTCTGAGCTGGTGTCTGAGGTTTACCAAAATGAAGCATCCAGCTATTGCAGTTACATCTTTATCTCTGACTTTGTTTTCTTCCTAATTAATACAATTATTAAGTATATCTTCTCTTTTTACCAAAACCTATTTAAAACATCTTTAGGGCTTCCCCGGTGGCACAGCGGTTGAGCGCGGGGTTGCGAAGCTGCCCGCAGCCTCTGCAGTGCCGGTTCGATCCCCGGCTGCTCCCCGGCCACCAGAGGAGGGTCCCACATGGCCCGCCCGCTGCTCCCCTCAGCAGTGTACTTCGGTCCTTCTGCCTGTTCTGTATCCTGCTCTGACTCTGGTGAATTCTCTCACCCTCCCGCGCTTCTGACTGTACCCAGTGCTTGTATGAATAAATAAATAAATAAATAAATCTTTAAAAAAAAAAAAAAATAAAACATCTTTATTTCTAATATCAAGTTCCTAATCTGGAATATATGCTAGGAAATAATGCCTTTATCGGAACTGTTGCATTCTTTTTATGAAATACAGTGTCTCTCTTTTTTTTTTTTAATCTTTTTTTTTCTTTCTTTTTTTTTCTTTTTTTTTCCTAATTAAAATCTCCCGGGGATCTGGAAGAGGCAGCGCATCGAATCTGTAAATGACATTAGGGGATGTGGCCTTTTTATTTATTTTTTAATATTTACTTATGCATACAGGAACTGGGGTACAGGCCAGAAAGGTGGGGGTGGAGGTGGAGGTAGGGGTGGTGAAAGGATTCACCAGAGACAGAGTGGGGAACAGAGCAGGCAGATGGACTGAAGTACACTGCTGAGGGGAGCAGCAGGCGAGACAGGAGAGGTCTGCCGCGCCATGTGGGTAGCTCCTTGGCTGGGGATCGAACTCGCGCTGCAGTGGCTGTGGATTGCTTCATAAGTTGCGTCTTAACCCCTTGCACCACCATGGAGGCCCTACAGTGTCTCTTTTGAAATATGTTAGTAATGCTAATGATTTAAAAGATTTTTATGTGAGCACTTTCAAAAACTAAAACTGAAATTTCTTCTTGTAGTCTATCTATATCTTTTGAAAATGTTGACACAGCTAAGAAGAAACTCCCTGTTCATATCTTGGATGGCCTGACCCTGAGCTACAAGGTATGTGCTGATATTCTTTGTAAGAACATTGTTTTCAATTAATAAAACGTGCAGGGCCTCCCCTGGTGGTGCAGCGGTTGAGCGCTGGGTTGTGAAGCTGCCTGTAGCCTCTACAGCGCCGATTCAATCCCCGGCCGCCGGGCGAGGGTCCCACATGGCGCGCAGACCTCTCCTGCTGCCCGCTGCTCCTCTCAGCAGTGTACTTCATCAGTCTGCCTGCTCTGCTCTGTTCTCCCCTCTGGCTCTGGTGAATTCTCTCACTCTCCTGCGCTTCTGACTGTACCCAGTGCTTGTATAAGTAAAATAAATCTTTGGAAAAAAAAAATTAAAACATGGAAGTAATAGGTTACTTTCTATTCTAATTTCCTATTTTTGTTTTCATAGGTCCCATGGCCTGTGGACATTGTTATAAGTTCAGAATGTCAAAAAATTTATAATCAAGTGTTCCTTCTTTTACTGCAAATAAAGTGGGCAAAATATAGTCTGGATGTTTTGCTATTTGGTGGTAAGATGTATTTTCAACAGATAAATTATAATTTCATTTTAAACCTGAAAAAAGGAAGCATGTTGTCTTTGGTCATATTTTATGGGTATACAGATAACTTGTATTTATAGCAGCAGCAGATTTACAGACCTCAGAATTAACTTTCCTGAATGAAATATCCAGAAGTTGTATTAGTCTGAAATAACCTGGTAAGGAACCTAGCCAGAATAAATACTCTTCTTAGATTATGCAAACGTTTTTAATGGCAAGTTAATAGGACTTTGCATTTACATTTTAATGGCAGTGATAATGCAGATGATATAGGGAACTTTTCACAGCTTCACCTTCCAGAGGTGAAGATGGGGTCCCTCCTGCAGTGCCCTTTGCAGAATTGCCCTGTGCCGTAGTACTGGTGGGGTTTGAGAAGCTCCTCTTCCCCCCATTCTGCCTTTTCAATCTTTTTATAGAACTTGCTAGTACTGCTGAAAAACCACAACTTAAAGAAGGACTTGTATGTGAACAAGACATAGCTGCTCAGTTTGGACCACAGAAGGAACCAGTGAGGCAGCAGATTCATCGTATGTTCCTCTTAAGAGTAAAGCTCATGCACTTTGTGAACAGCTTGCACAACTACATCATGACCAGGGTTTGTATCTGTCCGTCTGCTCAACTCTGTCACCTTGTATACAGCTCACTATTCATAGAGAGTTAGTTGTGATACATTTATAAATTCAAAGGAAACCATAAAATGCTTATATACTGTTAGTGTGAAAATAGCACACCTTAAAAATAATGTGCCAATGGGGGAAATATTTTTTAAAAGTGGACGTATATCCAGGGCCTGCTGAGCCTGTTGGCCCTCCCTCCAGCAACCCCTTGGGACAGGCGCTCCCAGAGCCCCTCTTTGGGAATTGCCTTCGGAACTTGCTGATAGTCCCTAAAATTTCATCAGTGTGACAGAACTTCCCCTGGAAAATGTCTTCAGTTTTCAGTAACAGCTAAAATCTATCAGGTTGGTGTGGTGTGTAAGGAGGAAGATGTAGCCAGATTATTACACTTAATGAAAGTGTATATTACTTCTATTTTCATTTTCTTAAAACAAGAAGTAACCCATTTCAAAGTAAATGAAACTGTTTTGCTTATAGATCTTAAAAGTTGTTTTAGAGAAACACTGACAGAGGAGTTCGTGCATTTGAATAGTATCAGTATTATTGGAGTATAGTACTCATTTGGGGTTTAAAATCATTCATGAAAAAAACCTCATTCATAGTCATTCTATATGTTAAGTTCTAACACCTATCTTGTTTGGATGAATGATAACCTTTGGAGCCTGGGTTTCACACACGGTGGCCGTGGCAGAGCTCTCTGTGGCTGCCTTGGCGGTCTCAGAAGGCCAGCCGTATCCCTTCACTGTTGAGAGTTAAGCGGTAGAAGTCCAGGTTTTTGCCTCATTTGTTTTTGTTTTCTAGTTGAAGTACATCTATGTTGCCTTTAAAGAAAAAACCAATATATGAATAGTGCAACTTATAAAAGTATACATGTTTATTATAATTATCTGTACTATATTAGATAATTACAATGTCTAATGTATCTGTATTATAATATAAATTTATATTTAACAAGTTTACCTGATAATTTGTTTTGAAAATCAGTGCATTTTCTGTATGGTTTGATATACTTGCCCCTCCCTTCAGGGAACAGCCTATTAGTAAGAAGGCTAAAAACCCAGACTCTAAATAATACTTTATAAATCTGACAGATATAATTAATAAAGGAGGAATGGTAAAAAGTTTTGTGTTTGGCACACAAGTCCTCAAAGAAGTCTACTGGTTATAAACTTGCCATCTTTCTCTTCCAAGATTCTTCACAGTACCGGGCTAGAGTTTCAGCATCAAGTTGAGGAAGCCAAAGATTTAGATCAGTTGATTAAAATTCACTACAGATACTTGTCAACCATTCATGACCGATGTCTACTGAGAGAAAAGGTACGTGGCATGTTACCTGCATACTTAGCCACTGAAGCAGGAAGTGAAGTTGGCCAAGGGAGGTTGTCCCTGTGGAATTTTATACCAATTTGGCATCTATTCTACATAATAGTCTTTAAGAAAGGACCAGATCAAATGAGCTTGCAAATTTGTGCCTTATTACCAGAAATTACTTGAGATAAACAAGAACTGTGTCGTGACAGCTTGTACACACTATATTGCGCTTGTATTTATTGAAATAATTGGATCTACTTTTGTGGAATACTTGTGTTTTGGTCAGAAAGTGTGTCCAGCCTAGCTTGGTTGTATAGAATTAAATCATCTCATAGCCTTTGGGATTATGGGGAGTTTAGGCGGCGCCCCGGGAAATGGCAGGTGGCTTTTGGTCAGCCTGGGTCTCTAGTACGTAGCCATATGGCCTGATGCTCAATGCACTTTGTTGGGAGCTTCAAGCTCTTCCTTACACATAAAAGGCAGGTCGTTGCTCTAATGAGCTTTTTCTCTGACTCATTTAAATTAAGTAGAAGTTTTGGTGTCAGAGCCTAATATAGTTTAAGAACCTGTGTTGAGTCCCTGGCTTTGATCTCCAGGTCAGCTTTGTGAAAGAAGCCATCATGAAGGTGTTGAACTTGGCACTCATGTTTGCAGAAGGTTGGCAGGCGGGCCTGGGAGCTTGGCGGTAAGCATGTGGCTTGTGGAGCCTCCGTTGTGACCATCTCAGCCCCTCCTCTAACTAGCTTCATTCTGGGAGGTTGTTTGTCCATCTGGGGTAACACATCACATACCACTTATATTTCAGAGAAGGATTAGTTCATCTAAACTGAACAGCACCAAGTGTGCAAATCTTTTATGAGCAATAAAGCAATAAGAAAAACCTTAAGTTTTCAAATTAACCAGCAAATATTCTTGGATCACATTCTTATTGTGTTGTATAGGTTTTGTTAAATTTTCATTATGGACACCTGTAAACATACAGAGAAATGGAGGAAAAGGTAAAGCCTGGATGCCATCACCCCACTTCAGCAATTGCCCACATAGACCAGTTCTACTTTCTGTTGTTCACCCACCCCCAGTCATAGGTGCTGAATTATTTTAAAGCAAATTCTTGACATGCTAGATTATAATCCACAGTTGTATTTTAGATGAGCTATGAAAGATACTCTTGTGTGTTACTTTTACAACGTTTGGCATTCACATCTGTCACATAGAAAGGGTAGAGCCCTGAAGTCACAGGACAGTGAGGGTCCAGGAACTTACTCTTCTACCCAGAGCACCACCCGCTACTGTTACTTTGTGCAGCTTACACTTTGTCCATGTCTTGTTTATAAAATTAATGCAGTGATAATGCTATTTTCCCTGAAATAAAAGTGCAAGTCTGACCAGTGGGTTGTTGGGATAATAGCTTGTACATAGTCTGCGTCCATAATGAGGGGAACCTCATTATAGTGCTAATCTAAAACCTGACACTATGGCTGTGTCATAGCACTCTGAATGAAAAACCAAGTTAGTAGGTTAAACTCATAATTGCAGGGGTGAAAATTGCTGTTATTATTGTCTCATCGTGTGAGAAGCACATTTTTCTTCCCATGGCACTGTGGAGTGGAAGAGAAAATAGTAACACCATTGCCTATGCTTTGCCAAAATTGAACTGTTTCAATTTCTTCAGCTAGTGAGTTGTAAGAAAAAAGCAGGTAGTGAGGACTTAAGCATATCAACCATCGAAATGTATGGAAATTAAGTTGACCCTGATTAAAACTTAAAAGTGCAAAATAACAAGCAATGTGGAATTTGAACACTGACTGGTTATTTGATGTTAAAAAATCATTAAATAATTTTAAGTAAAGGTATTATGTCTGTGTTTTAAAAGGAGACTTTCTCTAATGTACAGACACTGAAATATTTATAACTGAAATGCTGTAATGTCTCAGATTTGCTTCTAAATAGCCTGGTGGGGCTGAGGTATTAAGTTGCTTGGGGTGGTGACAACTGTACTTCTATGTATGTTTGATATTTCATGTGTCAGAGTTTTTAAGCAGCTTTTAAATTTAGGGTATTATATCTTTGCTGTGTTCCTTATTTCCTAAAGATATATTTGTAAAAAAGAACCGTGCAGTGGAAAAGGGAATGTCCCAGTCCTAGCTCCATAGCTGTTACCATCCTGAATCAGCAGTTTTATATCCTCATGAACCTTCCCTTCAGACACTTGGAAAGTTTTTATTTTAAAACAGGACAAGATGTTTTATATTTTATAATCTTTAGACTCAGGATTCTAAAATATTAAAGAACATTTGAAATTACTCCAAAGATATTTTTTAGTCTACTGTTAACCCCTTATGCACGTACTTAAAATTTACCTTCTCGGTCAGAACAAAACAGCAAAACTAGCGGGCAAATTAAAGATCTGAGACATACAGTCGGGTACAGTGGGAGGTCAAAAACAGAATGAAAGAGCACAAGTGACTACGGTGACGTGGTGGGAGATTCACAGGGACTACACCTTAAGGGAGAAATCAAATACTGTATAAAAACGAACAAGGATATAAGGGGGGAAATTTTTTTAATTTCAATTAATTAAATAAATTTGCCTTCCTTCCTAGAATGGAATCTATAGAGAAAATGGAATCTGATTTTAAAAACTGCCATATGTTTCTCGTAACCATTTTAAACAAAGCTGTCTGCCGAGGATCCTTTCCCCATTGTGAGTACTATTTCATTTTTTCTCGAAGCTCAGTTATGTGTTACTGTTTTGATACTGGTCTCATGAATAATGAGAATTGTTCACCATTTTCAAACCTGGAAATTCCTTCAGCAGTGGTCCATGCTTTGTTTTGTCACAGTGGGGTGAATAAATGCACATGTAAAGCAGGAGATGAAAGATCATGCTTTCTAGCTAGTGCGTCATTTGTTACACTGGTGGTTTTCTAAAATGTATTAAATAAAGTACACAGCAGAATACATTTCACACATTACTAGTTCGTGTAGTCTTTGTAATTATTCCTTTTCAAAAGATAGGGCTGGTTTTGCTTTTTTTTTTTTTTTAAGCAATTTTAAAACTCCCGAGGCTACCTCTTATCATAGGGAAATGCAGGTCTGACAGCTCAGAGCAGGGTGTGAATCAGGCAGAGATCCGTGGGGTGAGTCACAGGGAGAAGAGAGCTATTTAATCTACAGAGACAAAGAACAAAGTAATATCTCTTTGTGGCGGGGGGGGGGGGTTTGGAGAAGTATGCAGGGTTAATGATCTCTTTCCTACTTTTGCATATTCAAATTGTGGATATACTCTTCAGGAGTAGCTGAGCATCCTCTTAAATACTGGGTAGAATTGTATTGGAGGAAACACCGCTGCATTTGTCTGTTTTTGCACTGGGTGATCATTATGCCAGTAAGATTCCATTGGTGGTTACAGCATGGCATTTTGCTAGGAACGGCCTCCAGATTGCTTGACATATGGGACAAATGTGATTTATTCACAGAAATGCCTAGAGTTTTTGTTTTCAGAATTAAAAGGTCTGAAATAGAAATAAATCATACTTTTTAAATTTTTGCTTAATAAATGAAGAGTATCTTTATTATACAATAAAATAATAAATATTTAAACTTGTTTTTTAAATCTTTTCTTCTTCCCACAGTGGAATCTCTAGCACTGTCCCTCATGGCCGGCATGGAACAAAGTTAAAGATCTCAATGCAGTAAACATCACAGACCTAATCTGCATTTTGACCACATGCAGAATCTTTAGTTTGGCTCATTTTTAAAACTTACCTACTATCAACACAGATGGGTTGTTACTGTCTTTACTACCTGTTTTCTCTGGAGACTATTAGAGAATGTATAGGCTGTATATATTGTATCAATAATGCAAAATGTACACAGGCTGTTGCAATTATATTTCTTACTGTAAGCTATAGCTATATGGTATTTATGCCTTTAAATGTGAATTATATCATTTTTAAGAATAGAATTTAATATTAAAAATAATTTAAACTTTTAAATTTCTTTTGTTCTCCTTTTGCTCGGTCACAGAATTTTTATAGAGAGTTTTAGATGCCATCTTCCCAGAAAGTTGTCTTAGTTTTGGCTGTCAAAAAATGTATTTTTTATATGTCTGGTTAGTTCCAATATCAAATGTAAAAGCCAACAACTTCACCTAAGACCAACTGTTGGTTATTATTTGGCACTTCTCAGCAATATTTGTGAGCTAGTCAGTTATATTTAAATAAAATTATGCTTACCACATTTTACACATCTCCTTTTTATATTTCCTGGGATGTCTAGCATTTACATCAGCACTATGTTTACCAATTTTTTTTAATGATTTGTTTATTTATGCATACAAAAACGGGGGTACAGGCCAGTGGTGCAGGGGGGAGGGTGGTGAGAGGATTGACCAGAAACAAAGTGGCGAGCAGAACAGGCAGATCTACTGAAATACACTGCTGAGGGGAGCAGCGGGCCAGGCAGGAGAGGTCTGCTGCGCCATGTGGGTCACCTCCCTGGCTGGGGATCGACCTTGTGCTTCAGTGGCTGTGGATAGATTCATAGTGCTGCGTCTTAACTCCTTGGGCCACCAGGCAGGCCCTGTTTACCAATTTTAACCATAACAACTGAATTTCAAATAGTCACAGAGCTGAGCACCACCTCCCCTCGCCCTTGAACACAACCTTAGTCGTCTTGCGGCATCAGCACATCCTGCATGCAGGTGGCCATGCCAGGGTACAGCACCTCCTGGGAACCAGCCCAGAGGGCTTTCACTCAGAAGCCTTGGAAGAAATTCACTGAGGCAGCCTTCAAACCCCAGAGGATAAAAAGCTACTTTCAGATCACAAGAAAATACTGTCTAACCTAACTAAGATTCACAAAATCTCTTTTGGTCTGGTCCTCGAAGTCAGAATCCTGTGGAAATTAATGGGCGTGTCTGTTCCCATAAAGCAGTCGTGAAGCTGAATTTCAACAGTGGTGACCTGAGTTCTCTTGGTGAGGTTCTTTATACTTGACAAAAAACATACAAACGTCTCTGTTTATGAAAGAGTGAGCCCCACCAAAAGTCTAGTCTCCATCCACCACCATACAGCTGACCCTCTTTACTCTTATTTTTTTTTTAAACCAACATACCTACCCCTTTCCCCTCTGACAACCACTCATTGGGGAATTGTGGGGTTTTTTTAATTTGTAATTTTTTTAATTTTTTACATCATTGTCCTTTTTTTTTTTAAAGATTTATTTATTTATACAAGCACTGGGTACAGTCAGAAGCGCGGGAGGGTGAGAGAATTCACCAGAGCCAGAGCGGGGAGCAGAGCAGACAGAAGGACCGAAGTACACTGCTGAGGGGAGCAGCGGGCGGCAGGAGAGGTCTGCGCACCATGTGGGACCCTCCTCCGGTGGCCAGGGAGCAGCCAGGGATCGAACCGGCACTGCAGAGGCTGCGGGCAGCTTTGCAGGCCAGCGCTCAAGCACTGCACCACCGGGGAGGCCCCATTGTTCATTTTTAAACAATATTTCCTTCCCCCCCACCCCCTCAGGTGTAGTCCCCATAGAGTTTCCTTCCCCAGTGCACCCGTGCACCATCACCTCAGTCCCCTGTGCTCCTCCCTCCCTCCCTCTGATCCCTCTCCCGCCTCCTCCCCTGCAGGCTGTCTCTGATTTATAATTGTTTTTGCTTTGTTGTGTTTTGTACTGTTATTTTTTTAACACTGATGTCTTATTGGGTTCCCCTATATTCCTGCTATAAGTGAAACCATCCAATATTTTTCTTTTTCCTTCTGGCTTATTTCACTGAGCATAATTCTTTCTGGCTCCATTCACGTTGCTGCAAATGGCATGACTTTATCTTTTTTGAAGGCTGAGTAATATTCCATGGTGTATATGTACCACATCTTCTTGATCCAGTCATCTATTTTTGGGCATTTGGGTTGTTTCCAGGTTTTACCTATTGTAAATAGTGCTGCGGTAAACAGGGGTACAGGTGAAGAGGAACTTTTACCAGAGCCTAGCTAACCTGGAGGAAGGGAAATACCCACCCCAACCCCTACCTCCCCTGTGCAGGTGTGGAAGGGGAAGATAACTGAAAACCACTTGAGAAGATCACAGCCAGGGCACAACCTCACCAAAAGACTAAATCACTACTACAAGTCTTTCCCCACCCCACACTTGGCTACCACATCAATGGGCCTTTCAGAACTGAAAGAACTGCGAGTTGAGACTTTACTCCATAAGTCTTTAAGAGAACCTAACCCTTTCACCCCCTGCACCTCTGACAAAAACAAGGACACCAGAGGAAATGTTAGCCTTTGCTATCGCAAATGGCAAGCACAGTTTCTCACCCCGATCCTGAGAAACAGCATCACACAAAAAGCCTATTTATCTCAGTTCCTTCTACCCAGTACAACATGTCCTACTGTTAACAAAAAATTACAAAGCATAATAAAAAACAAAATAGTAAAACAAAAAACAGCAAGCATCAGGACCAGAGATGTCGGAATTACAGGCGGGAGTTAGAACAGCTATGAGCAATGTGCTCGCGTTCATAGAAAAAAGATGACCTTCCCATTTTTTTTTAAATCTCCCATTCTCTTCTTTAGAAATCTAAGTTTGTTTTCTTTTTTTACATTAAATATTTATTCCACCAGAATTTATCCTGTTGTAAAGTATAATGTGTAAAACCAAATTAGGAGGTTTTCCTAGATGAAGTGAACAGCAAAAGCACCTGGAGTGGGTGATACTTGAAATGTTATTTCAGTTATAGAAATGGAGAAGGCGGGGCCTCCCTGGTGGTGCAAGGGGTTAAGCACCACACTATGAAGCAATCCTCAGCCTCTGCAGCACAAGTTCGATCCCCGGCCAGGGAGCTACCCACATGCCTCAGCAGACTTCTCCTGACTCTCCCGCTGCTCCCCTCAGCAGTGTATTTCAGTCAGTCTGCCTGTTCTGTTCCCTGCTCTGTCTCTGGTGAATCCTCTCACCCCGTGCACGTCTGGTCTTTATGCATAAATAAATAAATAAATCTAAGAAAGGAGGAAGGGAAGGGAGGAGAGGGGAGGGAAAGAAATGGAGAAGGCATGCCTCTAATGGGAAAGGAAAGGAAGGGGCTTGTGCCCAAGACCACGTGACTAGAACAGAATAAGGGGCATGTTAGGCGTCAGTGCTGGAGAAGTGGGGTGTGTCACCTGAGGGATCAAATGTTGGAGTTGAGAGGGGAACTCAAGAGGACGCCCCATGATGGGAAGCTGCTACCATCAATAAGGCTTAGACTGTGTTACTTGGCACAGTCCATTCCCAGTGGGGTGAATGTACCAGTGGGGGAAGACCCTCCACATGTTACGTGGGCATGAAAAGTTTTACGAGGAATCGCTCTTAATCCTAGACTGAGGGTTTAAAGTGACATGGTTAGCCTGAGTTAACATCTTTGAAAAATTAAGAAAAAAAAAAAGACATTTTCTGATGGGAAGTAATCTGAGTTTGCTTATTTGACAGTAAGAACTGGTTTTGTCTATTACATTAAATAGAGCGACATTTACCATAAATTATAGACATAGCTTATGTGTAGCTTTGAAAATTTAATGAAGACTAAAAGTATTTGTGATAATACTTATAGAGAATTACATCCTTTGCAAAGCTTCAAGCTGAAAAGAATGAATAAATAGATACAAACTTAAAAATACATGAAGGGATACAAACTTCTAAAAATTTTGTCTAGGAGACAACATGTTTGAAGACCACTGAGAGTATAGACTCAACTCGGTAACAGGGACCAGGACACTATCTATTCAACTTCTATTTCCACGAAGAAAATAGGAGTTCAGTCTCTCTCCCATCATGGTGCAGAGGTCAGAGGTAGGTGAGTGACTTTGCACCTGACGTTGTTCGGGACTGATCCCTTCGAGACCTGCTGTGGGCCTGTGCAGTTGCCTATGTTTGCCTGGTCAAAGCTGGCTGGCAGACTCTGTCCACCTTCCAGGAGGGAGGAAGAGAGGACAGGCAACTTTCTTTGGTGGTCAACCTATTTGCCAGGAAGCTGAAATTTTAGTTAAGGCACCTCGAGTCCTAGCCTTTTCAAATACTGAGATTTAATTTACCCACTCTTATTCACTATCAGAGATTCATCTGAGACTTGATCCAAATTCTCTCAGAAAATGCTCAAAGTATTTCCACTTTAGGCTATTAAGGAGACTAGAACCTCACTCCTGTAGTTAACAAGAAAAAACAAAGTAAAATAAACCCTGTTCTTTCTATGGTATTAGTACAGACTATCCAGAAACCTTCAGCCGAATTCCAAGAGAAACAAGGCCATCCTAAGAGCAAAGAACTGTGTGCTCGCTGAACTTGGCAGGGTGGTGGGTGAAGGTGGGTTTGGCAGCAGACCTTGTCTGCCACACATGGTGACTATAGAAGGACAAGAACGCAGCTGAGCCTTTGACGCCCAGCAGAGTAGTTGGGCAGGCTGAATTGGAATGTGAAAGCTGCTAAAACTTATATGACTATGCGAAGGCCCTAGGCTAACCAAAGCCACCTTGAGGACAAGAACAACATTAGAGGACTTGTGTTACCTCATTTCAAGACTTCCTATAAAGCTGCAGTAGTCAAGATTGCATAGCACTGGCCAAAGGATAGACAAATAGATTCATGAAACAGAATAGAGTCTAGAAATAGATTTATATCTACATAAGTCTACTGTTGGTTTTTTTTTTTTTTTTTACTAAGTAATGCCAAAAAATTTAATGGAGAAAGGAAACTTTTGAAATGGTTCTAGAACAGCTGGTGATTCCAACTATATAATTTTTTTTTTAAGATTTATTTATTTATTTATTTATTTATTTATTTATACATGCACTGGGTACAGTCAGAAGCACGGGAGGGTGAGAGAATTCACCAGAGCCAGAGCGGGGAGCAGAGCAGGCAGAAGGACCGAAGTACACTGCTGAGGGGAGCAGCGGGCGGCAGGAGAGGTCTGCGCGCCATGTGGGACCCTCCTCCGGTAGCTGAGGAGCAGCCGGGGATAGAACCGGCGCTGCAGAGGCTGTGGCAGCTTCGCAACCCAGCACTCAACCGCTGCGCCACCGGGGAGGCCCTTGGGAAAGGTAAAACTGTAAAAAGATCAAAGGTCAGGGAGAAGGTAAAGTAAATAGGTAGATTACAGGATTTTAGGACACTGACACTATTTTCTAGAATACAATAATGGTGGATACGTGTGATTAAACATTTGTTCAAACCCTGAGAGTACACAATACCA